TTTAAAATAGGTTGACCCTGTGGCTTTGGAAAAATCTTAATTGAAGACAACTATTTTAGGCTTCAACAAACAGAACAAAACAAAACAGATTAGCAGAAGTCCAGAATTATAGGGTAAAGTTATAAAATAGTGGTATATTGTAAGGGACAAATTAATAATATATTTTAAATAACCAAACTTGCTGTAAATTAAAAGTTTTCTCTTATCAACTGGGCCGGTCTTGACATATCAACATTAGACTGTTGGAATTAGAATATTCTGTTCAGAGAAAAATGGTTTTTGAAGCAACTGAAGACAAAACTATGTAAATTTGCAACTAGTTATAATGACTGACTTTTAAGAATTTTAACTTTATTAACTATGCCCTCAAATTACTGTTGCTTTTTAAAATACACTTATGTAATTAAGCATGAGTCAAGACTTAGGAGAAAATTTTCATTCTCTCGGAATTATAGAGTACAGAAAGGTATATATATTAAGTATACTTCATTTTGCCTCAAAAAGTTTGTTCACCTTCATTGGATAAGTCTGCATAACCTAAAATAAAAAAATGCAGAATTTACCATGCGATAAGTATAATGAAACTGCCCAAATTTTCCAAAATGCAAGATGACTATCAGCCTAGTTTTGGCTCAGTGTTAAAATGAACAGATTGAATTTGAATGACACCAGAGCTTGTCTTAAACCCATCTGGTAAGAAGTTGAAACTACTCAACCAGCTTTTCACTTTTTTTCCATTTAATATTTATTTTCATTTATATTTGAGGCCCTATATTAGGTGCAATAGTTAGAATACTGTTTCCACCCAAACTCTATTCAATACTACCTCCCCATGTTATTTCTACTGAAGACCTAATCTCCAGCATGATGAAAAATATTTTTAAGTCCATCTAAAACTGTATATGTCTCATATATGACCGTAAAGAGGCCAACATTTTGAAACATGAGCTTAACTAAAATCATCCAAATTAATGGAGGAACATTTAACAGATTTTCTAGAAACACTTCAGTTACGAGGTTTCTGGTACACATTTGTTAATGAATCCAGTAGTGTGATTGAAAGTGCACTACTGCAGGACGCCTGGGTGACTCAGTCGGTTAAGCGGCTGCCTTCGGCTCAGGTCATGATCCCAGGGTCCTGGGATCGAGCCCCTCATCGGGCTCCCTGCTCAACGGGAAGCCTGCTTCTCCCTCTCCCTCTGTGACCTCTCTGGCTCTCACTGTCTCTCAAATAAATGAATAATATCTTTAAAACAATGCACTACTGGGCATGAATAAAGAAATTGTTGGTCCATAAAAGTTGACTTTGATGAAGGCATGTTTCAAAGTAAGTAATTTGCTTAATTGAGACTTAAGATGACATATTTAGCTTGTGTGACTATACATTAAGGATTTTGAGTTATTTATTTATTTATTTTTTAAGATTTTATTTATTTGAGAGAGAATGAGAGAGAGAGAGCATGAGAGGGAGGAGGGTCAGAGGGAGAAGCAGACTCCCCGCTGAGCAGGGAGCCCCATGCGGGACTCGATCCCGGGACTCCAGGATCATGACCTGAGCCGAAGGCAGTCGCTTAACCAACTGAGCCACCCAGGTGCCCTTGAGTTATTTTTTATGTCATTTTATTTGTTTTTATATAATACCATGCAAATAGTCTAATAAGAACTCTAAAAATATACATCCTTGAGAATGTAATTTACCCTACCTTTTACATGTGCCTACTTCAAGGAATTACTTTATTTTTCTCTTACCCCAACTAATAGCTAAACGAGAACAGTAAATTTAAAGAAGTGGAAAACATCAGAGGAATGAGGATAGCAATCATCTCTGCGGATTTGGCATTTGGAAGTCGAGAGAGAGTTCCTTCACTATTCCACAGGGTGGCAGTAATACAGCATAGACTAGGAAGAATGAACCTATTTAAAATTCGAAGTGGAAAGTTCAAACATCATCTCTTAAATGTCACCAGTTTCTTGTGAACATACGTTATAACATGTATATTGCAAATGCGTATGAAATAAATGAAATTAAAATTCTTAGTACATAGTTAGGTAAAATATATAAGGCAAAACTAAATGCAACATGAGTATGGCAGTTGGGATTGGAGTAATTTTTATATTTTTTTTGTTGTTACATAAAGAATTTAAAAGCTAGGGTGCTTTATATTAAACTTTTTCTGAACCAAGTGTATATTTATAAAATAATTTCAGAAAATTTTAAGCAGCCTATAAAATCATTAAAATATACACAATGCGTGTGTGTGTGTGTGTGTGTGCACACGCATGCCCATGTGTGTATCTACCAAGAGAAAAAAAGCATCTGAGGTATATTAGATCTTGGAAATATTGCAATGGGAAGGTGGTTGCAGAAATTATAAAAAGAAGGGTGAATTTATAATTCTTAAGATTTTAGTCACCATGGGGAGGAAAATTTCCGAAAAATAGTGTCTGACAACGTCTACACTAAGGCAAATAAAAATTAAGAGGTACAGATTATAAATTTGTAATATGGGAATAATTCAATCTGTTAATGCAGCTTTTATTCAAACAGCTGAGGATCTGTGTGGTGAATGAACACAGAAGGAGGCACATACACAAACAGTGTTTAGTGTGCTTTAAAATGTTCACCCAGCTCTGATTCTGAATTTCTTAATTTAGACAACTTCTAAGATCTTCACATCTGCAAACCTGGGGGAGTTAAGCAAAACTTTTGGGGTCAAACAAAATGACAAGTATTTTTGTTGTTTGGGGGAAGTTTCTGTTTTGTTTTCTACTAGTATGTGTTTTGGCTGGGTTGTGTTTATTTGGACTGTTTGATGAATAGCATCAGTCAAAATCACATGGTGTGTGTCTAAGTATAACCCCTATGTTGGTAGAAATACTTGCCTTTCAGGGACATTGATAGAATAATTCATTTAGTCTTATTTATTTCTCTTTACTGAAAAGTATTTTTTGTGGGAAAATACTTTACCAGAACACTGCTGTGGTAAGAGAGACACTAAGACAAAGCAGTGCTTTAAATTGAAAATTTGAGACATGCTTTCAAATGTTCATTGTGATGGAGATCTCCCACATGCTTTCTGGGGCATCTGGGTTGTTTCCCTGCCTTGAATTCATGTGACAATTGTTTAAGGTATAGCAGTTAAATTGAATTATCAGTAGGGTGACATACCAGTTTACAGAAGTATTTCCATTTAGGAGTAAGCTCAACTATGTCAGAGGCAACACTACATTGAAATATGAGCTGTATAGACAGCCCCAAAAATAAATTTTTAGAATTTAAGAAAATGAAATTGTTACATTTTAAGGAATTGGGGGGAGGGGTAGACAGGTGTCGCCGACTTCTGTTAACCTAGAATGAGTCACTTTTCCTTATAAATTGAGATGATTAAAATTCAGATGTGTCCTGCAAATGGCTGAGGCAAGCCTGGGCAAGTGAAGGGTGGCTCACAGAAAACTTTACAAGGGAAACAGCAACATCTCCAGTGTACGTCTTGGGGCAGGGATTGTTATGAAGTGATCTCTGTGTGGCCAAGACCAGTGGAGGAACAGAAAACAGATGTGAAATCTCTTTTGAGATTTGCGCTCTGCAGTCATGTGCAAAGATGAAAACAGGCGAAACAATTAGAAAATGTCAGTTCAAACAGTCAATCGACATGAATTAGGGAAAAGCTGTTAACATAGTTCAAACCAGAACATGAATTCATGGAAAAGTGATTTTCTGCATGTTTATCTTTAGAAAAGGCTAAAATGTTTAACTTAAAATACTGTTTTACTTAGATTACTAAATTAGTAAAAATCAATATATCCTAAATAGCCATTTTATTAAATATTTGTTGACATTGAATTTATCCTCTACATTCTTGTATTATTATGAAATTACAGTGTTTTCATAATTAAGTATAATGGCTTCTGATAAACATTTACATTACTGTATTTTAAAAATGATCTCAACTGAATTTTTAAAATATTTGCATATTAGAAACAATCAATGTTTTGATTGTCTTTAAAAATTCTGGGAGCTTAACATGTGTATTTATATAGCCTAGTTCTCTTTTATAGGAAGTTAGTAACATCATAATCATGTATGTGCATACTAAATATTTTCATGGTGTGAAAGTAGTTAAACTCTTACTAAGTATAATTGCCTTAACTAAAAGCGTAATGACCTCCTTTCTTTGTCCATTGTTATAATCACATATTTATGAAACAGGAATTTTTTTTTTAAAGATTTTATTTATTTATTTGAGAGAGAGAATGAGAGAGAGAGAGAGAGCATGAGAGGGGGGAGGGTCAGAGGGAGAAGCAGACTCCCTGCCGAGCAGGGAGCCCGATGTGGGACTCGATCCCGGGACTCCAGGATCATGACCTGAGCCGAAGGCAGTCGCTTAACCAACTGAGCCACCCAGGCGCCCATGGAATTTTTTTTTTTTTTAAGATTTTATTTATTTGACAGAGAGAGAGAGCAAGAGAGGGAACACAAGCAGGGGGAATGGGAGAGGCAGAAGCAGGCTTCCTGCAGAGCAGGGAGCCCGACATGGGGCTCGATCCCAATACCCCAGAATCATGACCTGAGCCGAAGGCAGGTCGCCTAACAACTGAGCCACCCAGGCACCCCTGAAACAGGAATTATTATTTTTACTTATTTTTTGCAGTGACTAAGTATGTGGAAAATATGTTTTAACCAGGGGAGACAGGTGAAGTCGGTTGGGCATAAAAGATGCCATTTCTATGAATAGAACCTGAGTTGTGATTCTGACATAGGATCAGGACCTGGTGCTGGGCACCCGAGTGCTGTCTTAAATTTAGTAACTGAAGTCCATGTTGAGAGTAGGTTATGGGGTTTCTCTCTGGTGACTTTCTGAAAGATTGGCCTCGATTTTTCTTGTCACATTTATCAACTGAGTAGTATGCTTTTATTTGTTTTTTGCTTTAGCTATTTTGTGTTGGCATTCAGTTAAATTTTATGCAGCCTAACAGATCCCTGTGTTTCAATTCACCAGGTACGTGTATTCACATTTTCAGTTGGTCAACATAATTATGACAGAGGACCTATTCAGTGGATGGCCTGTGAAAATAAAGGTAACAGATCTGTTTTCTCGAGCACAATTTAGTACTAAAACAAAATCGATAGTTGTTAATTCTACATATTCTCATTTAAGATAAAGTTGTAGCTAATGTTTACAGGAATAGAGACAAGAGTAAGATGTTGCATGTGGTTTCTTTTTTTAAAGATTATTTATTTGGGAAAGAGAGAGTGGGGGTTGGTGAATGGCAGAGGGAAGGGGGAGACAGAGTCTTTTAAGCAGACTCCATGCTGCGTGCGGAGCCCGATGCAGGCTGGATCTCATGACCCTGAGATCAGGACCTGAACCGAAGCTGAGTCAGACACTCAACCAACTGCGCCACCCAGGTGCCCCAAGATGTTGAATGTGTTTTCTGCAGAGAAAACCCACACACAAAACACTTTAAAATTATTACGATTACAGTATATAAAAAATTCAGACATTTGATCGTATGGTGTATGATATCATATATTGATATCATTCGATGCTTTATTTAGAGCTACTTAATGATACTTACCAAATAGAATCTTACCTGAAAAATTAAGAATGAAAGAATATCTGAATCACATAAAACTTACATATAAGAAAGTATGACATATAAGTGCATTTTTTCTGAATGGTTGAATTTTCTTTTAAATGTCTTACACATTCCTAGATAATTCTGATTTTGTGTAGTGAGCCCATGTTTCCGGTGTACACAGAAAAAAAACAAAGATGTTGTTTGAAAAACTGATCACATAGCAATAAAAGGAACCTCAATTTATTATGAAAGTCATATTTACGCAAATATTTTATATAAATGTAATTGTCAGATACCCATTATCATGTATCTTTAATAATTTCTCCAGTGATAAAGTATTTTAAATGAAGCCAGGTTCCCTACTGTTTGGTAGAAAAACCACATTTATTTGATAACAGTTTATAAGAAACATAGTGAAATTTCTCTTAAAGCTTATGCATTTGTTAGGGATATACAGTAATCAGACATTTTCTACATTTATTGGTGGTATTGATATGTTAGTGTTTGCTCATTTAGAAGTGAAAAAATGCTCCTTTTTCCTCCAAAGACCTAAAATAATTTTGTGGCCATGTATTATAATGTAATATGTGTGTGTGTGTGTGTGTGTGTGTGTGTGTGTATATATATATATATATATATACACACACACACACACACAAAAAAATATGTATGTATATGTTTCAGGTTATTATTATGAAATTCCTTCCATTGGAGCAATAAGAATCAATACTCAGGTATGGTTATTTAAATTTTGTTTAAATTATTTTTTCAAAGAACAAGATGTTTCTTTGCTTCTTTAAATATGCTCAATTGGATAAAATAGGTGAAAATGAAAAAATGATCCATAATACTGTATTTCTAACAAAATGATGAGTATCATGGTGATGTATTGATTGTTATTTCATTGAAGTTCCAAGTGTTTTCAAATATCCAAAACTCAGGTAAAAAACTGTGTATGTTGCTCTTCTCAGATGTTAAAAACATCATCGAAAATAAAATGAAAATTTACTGACAATCTCGTTTCATTTTAACTTGAACTTGGCTCTATTTCAGATCATTTAAGTGAGTTTCTTCAAGTTGCAGATGTACCACAAAGAAAATTAAGCAATACTTAATCTGGACAAATTATATAGGATTCTAATCAGAATTTAGATTCTAATCAGAAATTAGATACGTCCCAAAAAACCCCTGTAGATCTATTTACCCATTTAAAATAAACTTACAACAAGGAGATGATTTTTCTATAACCATTTATTTTATTTTATTTTTAATTATTGAATTCTTTTTATTTTTTCAAATTTTTATTTAAATTTCAGTTAGTTAACATAAAGTGTAATACTGGTTTCAGGAGTAGAATTTAGTGATTCATCACTTACATATAACACCCAGTGCTCATCCTAACAAGTGCCCTCCTTATACCCATCACCCATTTAACCATTCAGTTTAAAACTTGCCTGTTAAATAACCTCGTAGATCGAAGCAACAAAGTTAATTTAAATGTATATTATTTTTACGTATTCATAAATAATTTAAAATCATTACTCAATTTTAAACATAACTGAGGATCCACAAAATAGACTAAGTCAAAATTGAACATAAATAACATGGCATTTGTGGAACTGAATACTGACTGTGTTTTATGTTGAAATGAAACAGCGCTGCACTTGACTCTGATGTCTCTCTTGGCACAGTATTTCATTTATTTCTGATATGTTTAAATGTAGTTTTGAATTTCAGCCAAACGATCTGTGATATGAAAGCAAGTATGTGGCTGCTTTATTATTTCACATTTGTGTGATTCCATCCAGTAAATCACAGAGCCTTAAATAGTTTAGATTAACCTAAAGCAATTTACAAGGAACGTATTTCACTTATCATTGGCTGTACCTCAAAAAAAGGATGTATTGTTAATAGAAAAAAACTGGGGAAGATATACTGTATAAATAATATGAGTTAAATATTATTGATTCAAAGTATGTAGAGATACCATTTATGGTATATCCAAAATAGGAATTAAATGATTATAGATTTACTCTCTTAATAATTTTGATTCCATATTTATTTTTGACTCTGGGTAGTTTTCTTCTGTAGAGTTATTTTGTTTTTGTTTTAGTACAGCATTTCTGTTTTTCAACCACTTAACCCTTTTTTTTTTTTTTTTTTTTTAATAAATAGGAATATTTGGATGTTCTGGGTAGACCAATGGTGTTAGCAGGAGACAAAGCTAAGCAAGTTCAATGGACAAATGTGTATCTGGATGCACTGGTAAGAGATTGGCTGTTCAGCCAAAGACTGTCCTAACAAAAGCACATAGCTATTTCTCCTTCTTTCTAGGTGACATTTATCACTTCCAATTCATTAAACCCTTTCTAAAAGTCCTTCTGTCACAACCTTTTTTTCTAGAATTTAGATAATATACATAAAAACTTAGACTTGTCTAATCACAGATATGAAGTGTTACTTTATTTTTTAGGTGATCTGTTAAGAATATGGGATTGCAAACCTCAGATCTTGAATTTGTGGCCATTTCAATAACATTATGAATTTATTTTATTTTATTTTTGTTATTAACATATAATGTATTATTTGTTTCAGGGGGACAGGTCTATGATTCACCAGTCTTACACAATTCACAGTGCTCACCATAGCACATACCCTCCCCAATGTCCATCACCCAGCCACCCCATCCCTCCCACCCCCCCTCCACTCCAGCAACCCTCAGTTTGTTTCCTGAGATTAAGAGTCTCTTATGGTTTGTCTCCCTCTCTGGTTTCATCTTGTTTCATTTGAATTTTTATGTAAAAAAAATACTAAAGTCATATGAATGTATACCTGCGACTGCAGACTTTGAGTAAATCTGAGGAAAGGTTTTTAAAGTAGACTTCAGCTAGCAGGAGCATGCGTAGCCTCCACAACTCAAGTCAGACCCAACGAGGCTCAGAAGTACACGCAATTAAATAGGCAAATAATCTTACCCTACTCTGAAATCATCACAAACCTAATAACCTCTTTATATATAATATCTTCTTTCGAATTCAACCCCAGATTTTTATGGAAATAAGCCATTGAAATGATCAGACGTGGTGCAGTGTAACAAAAACATGTCAAGTTGTCCGTTGTACAATTGAAATTTTAATAGAGGTCATACTTTGATTTTTCAAAGCAGTGGTTCTCAACTGGGGGTGATTTTGCCACTCACAGGCCATTTGGATATATGTCTGGATGTTTTCCCTTGTCGTGACTGGGATGGGGAGGGATGGCTACTGGCATCTCGTGGATAGAGGCCAAGGAAGCTACTAAAAGTGGTACAATACACTGGACAGTCCCCTCACCCCATGCACGTGCACACAACAAAGAATTATGCAGCTCAAAATAGCACTAGAGCTTAAGTTCAGATAACTTGTCTAACGTAAGTTTTACTTCCTACTGTGAAAATTATAAATAGTAAATATCGTACTTAAGATTTATTCATAGGCTTAATCTTTTTTTTTTATTCTTATGTTAATCCCCATACATTACATCATTAGTTCTAGATGAAGTGTTCCATGATTCATTGTTTGTGCATAACACCCAGTGCTCCATGCAGAATGTGCCCTCCTCAATACCCACCACCAGGCTAACCCATTCTCCCACCCCCCTCCCCTCTAGAACCCTCAGTTTGTTTTTCAGAGTCCATCATCTCTCATGGTTCGTCCACCCCTCCGATTTCCCCCGCTTCATTCTTCCCCTCCCGCTACCTTCTTCTTTTTTTTTTCTTAACATATATTGCATTATTTGTTCCAGAGGTACAGATCTGAGATTCAACAGTCTTGCACAATTCACAGCGCTTACCAGAGCACATACCCTCCCCAGTGTCTATCACCCAGTCACCCCATCCCTCCCACCCCACCCCCCACTCCAACAACACTCAGTTTGTTTCCTGCGATTAAGAATTCCTCATATCAGTGAGATCATATGATACATGTCTTTCTCTGTTTGACTTATTTCACTCAACATAATACCCTCCAGTTCCATCCACGTCGTTGCAAATGGCAAGATCTCATTCCTTTTGATGGCTGCATAATATTCCATTGTATATATATACCACCTCTTCTTTATCCATTCATCTGTCGATGGACATCTTGGCTCTTTCCACAGTTTGGCTATTGTGGACATTGCTGCTATAAACATCGGGGTGCACGTACCCCTTCGGATCCCTACTTTTGTATCTTTGGGGTAAATACCCAGTAGTGCAATTGCTGGATCATATGGTAGCTCTATTTTCAACTTTTTGAGGAACCTCCATACAGTTTTCCAGAGTGGCTGCACCAGCTTGCATTCCCACCAACAGTGTAGGAGGGTTCCCCTTTCTCCGCATCCCCGCCAACATCTGTCGTTTCCTGACCTGTTAATTTTAGCCATTCTGACTGGTGTGAGGTGGTATCTCATTGAGGTTTTGATTTGGATTTCCCTGATGCTGAGCGATATTGAGCACTTTTTCATGTGTCTGTTGGCCATTTGGATGTCTTCTTTGGGAAAATGTCTGTTCATGTCTTCTGCCCATTTCTTGATTGGATTCTTTGTTCTTTGGGTGTTGAGTTTGATGAGTTCTTTATAGATTTTGGATACTAGCCCTTTATCTGATATGTCATTTGCAAATATCTTCTCCCATTCTGTCGGTTGTCTTTTGGTTTTGTTGGCTGTTTCCTTTGCTTTGCAAAAGCTTTTTATCTTGATGAAGTCCCAATAGTTCATTTTTGCCCTTGCTTCCCTTGCCTTTGGCGATGTTTCTAGGAAGAAGTTGCTGCCTGTGTTCTCCTTTAGGATGTTGATGGACTCCTGTCTCACATTGAGGTCTTTCAACCATTTGGAGTCTATTTTTGTGTGTGGTGAAAGGAAATGGTCCAGTTTCATTCTTCTGCATGTGGCTATCCAATTTTCCCCAACACCATTTGTTGAAGAGACTGTCTTTGTTCCATTGGACATTCTTTCCTGCTTTGTCGAAGATTAGTTGACCATAGAGTTGAGGGTCCATTTCTGGGCTCTCTATTCTGTTCCATTGATCTATGTGTCTGTTTTTGTGCCAGTACCATGCTGTCTTGATGACGACAGCTTTGTAATAGAGCTTGAAGTCCGGAATTGTGATGCCGCCGGCTTTGCTTTTCTTTTTCAATATTCCTCTGGCTATGCGGGGTCTTTTCTGGTTCCATACAAATTTTAGGATTATTTGTTCCATTTCTTTGAAAAAAGTGGATGGTATTTGGATGGGGATTGCATTGAATGTGTAGATTGCTCTAGGTAGCATTGACATCTTCACAATATTTGTTCTTCCAATCCATGAACATGGAACGTTTTTCCATTTCTTTGTGTCTTCCTCAATTTCTTTCATGAGTATTTTATAGTTTTCTGAGTACAGATCCTTTGTCTCTTTGGTTAGATTTATTCCTAGGTATCTTATGGTTTTGGGCGCAATTGTAAATGGGATCGACTCCTTAATTTCTCTTTCTTCTATCTTGTTGTTGGTGTATAGGAATGCCACTGACTTCTGTGCATTGATTTTATATCCTGCCACTTTACTGAATTCCTGTATGAGTTCTAGCAGTTTTGGGGTGGAGTCTTTTGGGTTTTCCACATAAAGTATCATATCATCTGCAAAGAGTGAGAGTTTGACTTCTTATTTGCCAATTTGGATGCCTTTGATTTCTTTTTGTTGTCTGATTGCTGTGGCTAGGACTTCCAATACTATGTTGAATAGCAGTGGTGATAGTGGACATCCCTGCCGCGTTCCTGACCTTAGGGGGAAAGCTCTCAGTTTTTCCCCATTGAGAATGATATTCGCTGTAGGTTTTTCATAGATGGCTTTTATGATATTGAGGTATGTACCCTCTATGCCTATACTCTGAAGAGTTTTGATCAAGAAAGGATGCTGTACTTTGTCAAAAGCTTTTTCTGCATCTATTGAGAGGATCATATGATTCTTGTTCTTTCTTTTGTTAATGTATTATATCACATTGATTGATTTGCAGATGTTGAACCAACCTTGCAGCCCAGGGATAAATCCCACTTGGTTATGGTGAATAATCCTTTTAATGTACTGTTGGATCCTATTGGCTAGTATTTTGGTGAGAATTTTTGCATCCATGTTCATCAGGGATATGGGTCTGTAATTCTCCTTTTTAATGGGGTCTTTGTCTGGTTTTGGGATCAAGGTAATGCTGGCCTCATAAAATGAGTTTGGAAGTTTTCCTTCTGTTTCTATTTTTGGAACAGTTTCAGAAGAATAGGTATTAATTCTTCTTGAAATGTTTGGTAGAATTCCCCTGGAAGCCATCTGGCCCTGGGCTTTTGTTTTTTGGGAGATTTTTGATGACTGCTTCAATTTCCCTAGTGGTTATAGGTCTGTTCAGGTTTTCTATTTCATCCTGGTTCAGTTTTGGTAGTTGATACATCTCTAGGAATGCCTCCATCTCTTCCAGGTTATCTAATTTGCTGGCATAGAGTTGCTCATAATATGTTCTTATAATTGTTTGTATTTCTTTGGTGTTGCTTGTGATCTCTCCTCTTTCATTCATGATTTTGTTGATTTGGGTCATTTCTCTTCTCTTTTTGATAAGTCTGGCCAGGGGTTTATCAATCTTGTGAATTCTTTCAAAGAACCAGCTCCTAGTTTTGTTGATCTGTTCTACTGTTCTTTTAGTTTCTATTTCATTGATTTCTGCTCTGATCTTTATGATTTCTCTTCTCCTGCTGGGTTTAGGCTTTATTTGCTGTTCTTTCTCCAGCTCCTTTAGGTGTAGGGTTAGGTTGTCCACTTGAGACCTTTCTTGTTTCTTGAGAAAGGCTTGTATTGCTATATACTTTCCTCTTAGGACTGCCTTTGCTGCATCCCAAAGATTTTGAACAGTTGTGTTTTCATTTTCATTGGTTTCCATGTATTTTTTTAATTATTCTTTAATTTCCTGGTTGACCCATTCATTCTTCAGTAGGATGCTCTTTAGCCTCCATGTATTTGAGTTCTTTCCGACTTTCCTCTTGTGATTGAGTTCTAGTTTCAAAGCATTGTGGTCTGAAAATAGGCAGGGAATGATCCCAATCTTTTGGTACCGGTTGAGACCTGATTTGTGACCTAGGATGTGATCTATTCTGGAGAATGTTCCATGGGCACTAGAGAAGAATGTGTATTCCGTTGCTTTGGGGTGGAATGTTCTGAATATGTCTGTGAAGTCCATTTGGTCCAGTGTGTCATTTAAAGTCTTTATTTCCTTGTTGATCTTTTGCTTAGACGATCTGTCCATTTCAGTGAGGGGGATGTTAAAGTCCCCCACTATTATTGTATTGTTGTCGATGTGTTTCTTTGCTTTTGTTATCAATTGCCTTATATAATTGGCTGCTCCCATGTTAGGGGCATATATATTCATAGGCTTAATCTTGATGAGATGACTTAATTGATGATTTGACTAATGTACTATATCAGAGAGAACCAGAATACTGAGCCCTGAAAAGTAAATGCTGATTCAGTAACCCTTTCTCCTACTTGGAGTACAATTATATGCTGATACTACTTTTCTGAATGCAGCGATGACCCCAAAGGGCAAAATGCAATCCATTTAGAATTACTTATCATTTGGTTCTTGTAAAATAAACATATACAGGAAGTTGGAAGAAAAATAGGCACTATTAACAGCAGCTTTGCATGCTAAGAAAGATAAAGTGAAGCTTGCTTACCTCAAACCCTAGCTAAAATTACTATCCAGTGCTCCTTTGACATCACATATTTATTTAAGGTCACATGGTCATCTAAAGCTATGGTCAAAATGTTTCATTTTTCCAAATCCATCACAGGACAGGGTATGATAGAAGGAGTCAATAATTATGCCCTCTAGGATTTCCTATGACCAAAAGTTCATTAACCAGCACATCTGCGTTGTTGGTAAGGTTCTTACTGATAGCACAGATGATGTTAGGAATAGGTTTTGGTTCTAAACGCACTGTTCAATAAGCTGGAACTAAATGTAAAACAAGAAAAAAAAAAGTCACAGGAATTGGCTAGTCAGTGGACACATAGAGCATTCTTGTACTAATGAGAATGAAAAGTGACTGTCTTGTATTTCTAATTACATGTCTATAATCTCTGCATGTAGAAGATTTACTATATATGCTGCTCAGTATGTGCTGTGGTTACATTAAGAAAAAAGTGGTAAACATATTCCAAGACAAAATGTAAAAAATATAATGAGAAAAATGAAAAGAACTCTGGAAATTCAGAAGAAAGAAGCCATGTATTTGGGGATGGTGTAGGGTGAGGTTAAAAAGATGGTGATAGTTTAGCTGAACGTGTAAGTACAGGTGAGATTTCTGCAATTGGTGGGGAGTAGCGAAACCACACAAAAAGGGTGCGGTATGAGTTGAGCAACTGCTGGGTATGTTGCAAAAATACTACCTCAGTCATTTTTGGAGCTAACGGGAGATGAGAACAGAAACAAGACTGGGACAACGTTGTGGAAGGTTCCTTTTATTTGAGAGATAAAGTGAGCTTCTTTGGACAAAAAGAGAGAGATGAAGAGAGTTGGAATCAAGAAAACACAAATATCAGATAAATTCCAGGAGAGCAGAAATCACGTCTTATTTCTCTTTTTTGTTCTCTAGAGACTGGCACAGCGTCTAGGAATAGAGTACAAATTTTTTGTCCTATTAGTAAATGAGAGAATAGAAATTAGGCACCATTGAGTTCGTCGATGATCGTGTCTCCTATGTTAGAAGTCTAGTATCTCATTTTAGGGTAGATATTACCATATTCTAAATATGGTAATATTAGAAGCAAATTACCATACTCTATATAAATGCAAATGTGATGTGCAGAAAATGTATCCATATATACTTTATCATGTGTCATGCTAGCATTTCAATAAAACTATGCATATACATTGTAACTCAAAAATTTCTCCAAAAGGAATATGTGCTGAATTAGGTTTTGGAAACAAGTTTTATGCGTTATCTATAATCTGACTTTATTGAGGTGGAAAGTTTTTATTGCGAATGTGAATTTGCATATTTAAGGATGTTTTCATTGTTGAATATTCTGGCTTAGAACTAAATGGAGAGCCAACATGTATATCATCATACACCAATTATGTGTAGTTGTTTCCTTAATTGTATTTGTCCCAAACAGTTTCATATCTTGTTCTGCTGAAAGCTTCCATGTGATTGTCCTTCTTCATTAGTTCAGTTCCCATTGTTTTTGGGCATCCCACATGCACGATGATCAACTATTGCCTAAGACATTTTCTCCATGAAGCCACGCTGCTTCTGGAATTAGAACAAGGGTCATGAGATTTGGATTTGGGGTCATTATTCACAAGGAGATAACTAATATTTTCTCAGCAAATTTGAAATTTTCAGCAATAATTTTAATCATTTTAAAGAGTGATTCTTTGGGAAATGTAGTTTTGACATGAAATGATGGTAAAAAATATATAATTGCTGTAGATAGCAGTAATAAAAAAAAAACAAAACACAACCTCTGACTTGAAAATCAGTTTATTTCAACTAATCTCCACGGATTCATTTAATATCTGAAATTATCTACATGCCGATTAACACTAGGTCATTATTTTTGTTCATGTTTATTTTGCTCCATGACCAGACTGTTGGCTTCGATGCTTGCAGTTGGCTATATTATTTGACTTTGTCAAAAAACACTATTTGTTTTGGAGGGTATTGAGGAGCATTTAGAACAGCATAGTATTTACCTAGACTATTGCAGAAATGCAGTATTGATAGCGTGTTTCTTCTATTTATCCTGCTATACATCTGTGATGTATAATGAGGCCTTTGGCTTAGGGCATGAAAGAATTAAGAATGAAGCTACCAAAAGGAAGGCAAATAAATCCTATGAAACAGTATTTTATTATCACCCTCCTCATGGAATCCTGTGATATTAGGTAAACTATCACTGTAAACAGAAGGGTGCAAGGGCAGGGTGACTGAAATATTTAGTGTCATTTGATTTTTTTTTTTTTTTTTTACGTTATTCGCAATGCCCTCTTAAGCTGTTATTTTAGATGTCACATGCTTCAAGAGCTGCCTAATCGATTCTGATTATTGATTTTTTTTAATAAAAATAAAAGTTTTTTAAAAGCTTTCAAAATTCTTTAATAATTCTTTGTGTCTCTTTATAATGTAACCATAAAATGCAGTGTCGGATACCAGAGACTACTGCAAAATGACAAAGTTTAAATTGTAATTCTGACTTGCCTTTTCTTTGTGAATCTATTTTTAGGAACTAGGACTTGTCATTACTGGAACTCTTCCGGTCTTCAACATAACGGGCCAAGTTGAAAATAAGACAAACTTGAAGGTTAAAAGTTAATTGATAAAATTAATAATAATAAATGATAAACGGTGACGTTGAAGCTGAGTGTGGATAAGATATTTCTATAAGGAAATACATACAATGTAACTGTCTTGTGAGACCAGAAGTAAGAGGGAACAGCTGCTTATATGATAACCACCTGGGAAAAAGGAAATGCAGGTCAAGTTCTCTGTTTCCCCAGAGCCAGGAGTCAACTTAACTCTATTTAACTATGAACTGATGAGAACACAAGTTCAGACTCTGGGAGGAATTACATGATAAATGGGCAATACTGTGGTGTTCCCCCTCCCCCCCCCCCTTTTTTTTTTTAAATGTGTCTGAGTTATCCTTGGAGCTCAGAAAGAAAAATCCAAAGAACAAAACCATGGTGATGTTTGTAGCCGGTGTATAAAGGTATATTTCTTGAATCATTCCTCCTCCAACTCCCATTCAAACAGTGGGGTTTTTTTTATCCTCACATAATTTAAGCATCTGATTTAAAATGAATAGGTCTCCATTTTTTTTTTCTATTTTTTAAGATTCAAGAAAAATACTTCATGAATTTCCTAACAGTGTTGATTTCTGCAGCACTGGTAATATTGTCAATGCAATAAGATACTAACAACTTAAAGTTCTGAAAAGTCCGTATCTTGTACTTATTAAATTCCATTCCTTATTTTTCAAATACTCCTGATTTTGAGGGAGGGTTGCATTCTTGTTTCTTAGCTTGCATCAGAAAGAATTTGGGATTGCAGGAGAAATTAAGATTTTTTTAATACTAAATACTCATTTTATGCTTTGGTTGACATTCCAGATGGGAAAGAACTTTATTTCCAGTTTATGGCATAATAAAGTCTACTGCATTTATTTGTTCAGTTATTATAAATTTCAGTTGAACTCTTTATTTTAATAATGTGGCCATCAAAGACATTAGTTATTTCTCTTGGGGAAACCATTATCATTATTAAATATCTGTGGGTTCTAACTAATTTAACCCATAAAGAGTAATTGTCTAACTCCTCAGATGGACTGTTTAAGGAAATGCTTTAATTAGGAATTTCTGCTTAGAGTAGGATTGGTCCCTGGCAAAAGAAAATAGTTCTTGACATAACTTTCTCTCTCCCTGTGTACCTACACAAAATTCACAGTGTTCTCATAATAACTATTGAGTGGATTTTATAATTTTCTTTGTAACATTTTATTTTATAATTTATATAATTCTATTTAAAACAAAAATTCCTGATTCTAAGTTTTAATACCATTTTCATCTTTAATGTCCCAGGGAAGATTATGATAGCAGTTTGCCACATAGCCTTGTTGAGTTGGAACTAAAGTTTTGATACCCATTGCTTGGTATTTAGAAGTTACCAGCCCTGAGAAACAGTTTTGAGGGTTTCTGCTATTTTATTACAGTGAGGTCAGATACTTTTCAGGATAATTACACATATGCAGGCACTGTCAATAGCAAATAAAAACAAAAACAAAACCAAAACCATTATTTTCTCATTTCACATTACTGATATCTTCAGGCTGAACATTTCTGTGATTTTTTTAATCATAGTACACCACAGAGTCACAGAGTACTCTCATACACACACAGCTACAACTGACTGTACAGAAGCAATTAAAATAAGTATTAGGGATAATGAGTACAAGAGGCATCAAATAAAAATTTCCTATCTTTTCTGTTTTAGCTGTACTTACCAAGATTTCATTTTTTAAAGTTAATGATACAGTTGTGGGTAAACAGAGGTGAGAATCATTGTAGACTGATATAAGTGTCTCACCCTTATACATGTTTTAGCTAGTATGGAATACACCTATTGTCAAGCAAAAGGATGAGCATATATTAATTGTGTAGAAATATATGCATTTTTGATATAAGATACACTTCCTTTTTGCTATCTTCTTATAGAACCAGCTGATTCTTGGTGTGATGGGAGTTGATGTGTCTTTGGAAGACATTAAACGACTAACACCGCGTTTTACAGTAAGATGAAATTTACTCTTTGGGTGTCTTTTTCATTTTAGAGCTTTGTACTGATTTAACTTGTCTATAAAGCATTTGAGTAATTCTCAAAAATCATGTGCATTTAACTTCACAAAGGAGCTAAACGTTAAAAAGGATCTTAAAATATAAAGATACCATGTTATCTTTCTTCATGCTTTAAAATGTATTATTTAAGAATTTTTTCTTTTAAAGAATGTGATTTCTGATTGTGATTCAGACTGAAAGTTTTCTGGTTGTTTTTTTTTTTTTTTTTCCCCAGCTGTGCCCCAATGGCTATTATTTTGCGATTGATCCTAATGGTTATGTTTTACTACATCCAAATCTTCAGCCAAAGGTATGTATATAATGTGTTTACAGTGACTCATGCAATTCTGTAAAATTAATGGTTAATGTTCTTAATAGGTTTGTCATCTTTAAACTCACTATATAGCAGTAAATATACAAGAATGTTATATCTATTATGTTAATGGATGACAAGACCACAGTTTATAATATATGAAAGTGTGAAAGCAGTTTTCATTTTCTCTTACTAATTTAGCTATCCCATATTCCTATCGAATATTTAACTATCCAGTATTCACACCTCAAAGACAACCATTATCCTCCCGTGCCTAAATTCACACATCCCACCTGGGGTTGTGATTAAGGCTGGAAGGTAGTGAGGAGATGGCCCCAGATGGGTGTGAACCTGATAAATAGAAGTAATGTTCCTCTATGCTCAGGCCACATGTTCCGACACCCTTTTTTCTGGTAATTATCTCTCCTTTTCATCTCCCAGAGGATTTGTCTTTCTACTTTGGGGCAGGCTTATAAAACTTAAATGAAATTCAGTTAAGTAAAACTCCACGGGATGGGCTTCAGAAATAGGAAGTGTTTATTCATCAGGGAGTTGTGCAAAAGAGATAAAATCCCTTAGATAAACTATTTTATCCTAATCTTTATGCCAAGATATAAAATATTTTCCTGTATATCTCCTCAAATTTATTTCACTGTCCATTAGTGCTTCACAGGTGGGGTGAATATATATTTATCTAGAAGCAAAAAGTGGCAGAATCTTCCTATATTATGTAATTGTAATTTATAAACATCTTCAAGTTATTGTTTAACTTTGAAGATGATACTGAAGATACTTTAACCCATGCTGGAGGGAAATATATCTGAATTTAGGTTTACTACCATCTTTTTCTCCGTCATGGGTATTTCATGTTAGTGAGATCTTAGGGCATACACAAGTAGGTGCATAAACACACACATACATTTAATGTTGAGTCATCTAAATATTCAAATCAATGATAATTAAGAACCATTAATATTGAATACAAAACCATACTAAGTGGTTACAATACATGTGTTGATTTTAATTCTTCTCACTTTGGAACTTACTTCCATATAAAATCCATCGTGATCTAAATATTAGCTAATCAAATGTAGCTGCTGATCACTCTGCATTATTTTTCAAGCGTTTTTTTTTATTATTATAAATGCTATAGGCATTTCTTCCCATTATTATGAGTATCACAGCGTTAAGTTCTTCTTAATAGAGTTATTTATGATTAGCTAAACAGTCTGTGATTTTGTCACAGTTGAAAATTTTTATCTTTTTAAATCTTGTTTAAGATTTTTTAAAAATTTTCATTATTGTTTGGTCTTTGTATATACAGTATATTTTCATTTATATTTCCACAACTGAAGTGATTTGAAAGCAGTAACAATGTTATATGCTCAAGGGTGTGAAGGATCCCCATTTTTATGATTGTAGTTCTTAACCCCTTCCCCAAAAGGAACTTTATTATTGAGACAAAAAAATAAGAATAATGAGAATAATGTACACACAATATAAAGATATAAATCTATCACTTAGAGGCAGTAATTTGAAAAAGATTTTCCCCTTTTATACATTCTTCTAATAACCAGTATTTATGGAGAAAATTTTTTTACTCTTTGATGTCAACATACATTTGGCTCAGATTTGGAATAATTTACTAAAACTCATAAAATTACAATGAGAATATAAATTCTCTAGAAACTCTTATTACAGCCCAAGTGACTTTTCTTCAGCAGTATGTCAGCTTTTCATATTTTTATACAGGAAATTATTATAAGCAAGTATGCAGCAAAGATATTTAGAAAATGCTATTTTATAAAACCATTAAAATATGTTTGAACAATCAATGTATTCTTTTTTCTGAAACTCATGCTTGTGAATTAAATGTGCTTGTGAATTCTCATCATTAGGTTAAACATGATGATTTCTATTGTGTGGGTGATGGTGCATGCTATACAGGTAGAAGAAAGAACCTCATAAAAGGATGATACAGTATGAGCCAATGGTTTTAGAAATTGACAAGTACAAAGGACCAATATGGTAACAGCTAGTGTACTAACAAAATTATTCTCAATCCTTCTATCAGAAATATACCAGTAGAAATAAAGGAAGATAATGCTCTGTTTTCATAGTATCCCTTATTTAACAAGGGCAAAGTTTAGTGTTATTACACATATTCTTTGCTGAATGCCTTGTGTTTGCTTCCTAAAACAATGATCTTAAATTATTTCAGTACAATTTTCTAGTTTGTAGAAGGCAGTATGAGTATCCTTTAAAAAGGCTTTATAACAGGAAATAAAGTGGCTATAAACCTTTTGCTTATCTAATTTTCTAAGGAATCATTATTTATCTTCTTGAAGTGTACTGTCTCTACCATGACCACATTTTGACAAATACTGGATTATGTATTATACTTTGTTTCCAAATGCATTTTAAATTGCTTCCATTTTGTTTCATAAAAATTACCAGATCAGGTATGCTTACTAGATACCTAATTTTGGTCAATCTTAAGAAATATTTATTGTACAGGAAACTGTACATAATCTACATTTTAGAAGTCAGTATTTAAAATAAGTCTATGAAAATTACAAAAAAAATACAATAAGTTTACAGTGTTAGGATTAAATTCTCCTTTAGTTCCACAGATACATTTGGTAACACTTCAGAAAACAAAGGCACACATTTTAAGGGTTTACTATTAACACTTTTCAGAATCCTATAATATTTATATCTGAACACATTTGAATCATGTAAATTCTAAAATTTGCTGGTTTGGGTTTTTTTTTTTTTTTTTTTTTGAATCAGCATAAAAGTTGTCAGAGGCAAACTACCTTTCTCACTTCCCAAATACGTATTTCTTTGGAGAAAAAATAAAAGGAAAATATGAAGTCATTTTTTTTTTAAATTTTATTCTTATGTTAATCCCCATACATTACATCATTAGTTTTAGATGAAGTGTTCCATGATTCATTGTTTGTGCACAACACCCAGTGCTCCATGCAGAATGTGCCCTCCTCAATACCCACCACCAGGCTAACCCATCCTCCCACCCCCCTCCCCTCTAGAACCCTCAGTTTGTTTTTCAGAGTCTATCGTCTCTCATGGTTCGTCTACCCCTCCGATTTCCCCCGCTTCATTCTTCCCCTCCCGCTACCTTTGAAGTCATTTTGCTAACCATTTTTTTGAGTATTTTTACTAGCATAAATTTTTTTTTCACCACAAATATTTTTAAACTTTCATTTTATTTGTTGACTCATCATGAACTCTGTGATAATCGGTTTCTGATCAAGGAAATATCTGATCAAAATGGATTGTAGGATAGAAGCCTTACCTGTGTTGACATGTAGCATGATGAATTACCATCTTTCTGTTGCTTCAGCCTATTGGTGTAGGTATACCAACAATTAATTTAAGAAAAAGGAGACCCAGTGTTCAGGTAACTGTGAATGAAGTTAGCAGTGCCTTCAAATTTGCTAAATCAGAGTTGAGATTAAGCTTCTCTTCCTAAAAGCATATGATTAATGCTGCCTTTCCTGACCTCAAGCTTCCAGAGCATGAGTTGGAGATGAGCATCATTTCTCAATAAACTGGAGCAAAAATGTTATTAATGATGGCAGAGGGTGCAATCATAATGAGATGGCTTCTAAAAATGACTTTGTTCTTAAATATTGTCACATTAGTGTCAAATCCATGTAATCCTAACAGTTGCTTGTAAAATTAACTTCTAAGTGGAAATTAAAATGCAATTCTGATGTGGTAATTTCTGTGAACCATAAAATTTAAGCCAAAATTTCTTCGAATTTCTAAAAAGTATTTTGGGATTAGAGGTTAGAGAAGTTTCCCTTAAGCTAATTAACATGTCCAGAATTGCAAATAAATGTGAATTTTTATTGCCTGACAAGCTCATGGCAAAAGCTTTTCTCTTTTGTTAACAAAATTTATTTTTTATTTTTGAAAGATTTTATTTATTTGACAGAGAGACACAGCGAGAGGGAACACAAGGAGGGGGAGTGGGAGAGGGAGAAGCAGGCTTCCCACCGAGCAGGGAGCCTGATGCGGGGCTCCGTCCCAGGACCCTGGGATCATGACCTGAGCCGAAGGCAGACGCTTAATGACTGAGCCACCCAGGCGCCCCTGTTAACAAAATTTAAATGTTATTTTATGTATGCATATTTCTATAATCACACTAAAAATAATCAGAAAGATACTTCCTCCAGTTTAGTATACTATAGTAAGAGAATTAGTACAGTAAGACAATTTCAAATTCCAAAGGAAGTTCAGTATGACTTAATGTTTTATATGTAAGTCTATCATTGCTTTAAAGTTAGTGATATTATAATGGAGAGGTAGTATGATAGTAAGAAGAGATTATTAAACTATGAATTAGTAAAACGGAATTTTAAATTAGTTGTATTTATAGCTAATACTTTGTCTTTGAGTAGTTCATTAAACCCCATTTTACTTTAATTTCTTAACCTGAAAAGCAGGAAAATTGAACTAAGAACTTTTTTTTTTTTACCCTACATTGTATATTCCCCCAGGAAATTAAATACACATGTTGATCTCCAGTTCCCTCTCCTGAAAATTCTGATTTAATATGACCAGGGATGGGACCCAGGTTAATGAATAGTATTTCAAGTTTTCCAGGTTCTTCTAAAGTGCAGAGACACTGGATTAAGAAGCTTCAATTTTCTTGTAGCTCTAGAGTTCTGTGCAGTCTGATCTTTATATTGTATCAGACTTCGTAGCTTTTATGATTCCCGTAGAGGCTAAAATTCTATTTATGTCTTATATTGTTTTATTAAATTGTTTTACATTACTCTCCTTGCATGCTTCTTTTGTGTATTATCTTCATTTGTGTACATTTTAGTGAATTTTCATTTTTATAGTACTTTCAAATATTGCATGTAAATATTATGATATAATTTGAAAATAAACAACCTGAAAAATGGTTTGTTTTATTTTTGTTTTCCTTCTAAGGAAACCTCAAATGGCAAACTGGCAACCATACAAGACTTGAATTTTGGGGAGTATTTTTTGAAATAGGTAGTATTTTTCATCATACTACTAAGTATTTCCATTAAAAATTTGTGTAAAAGCATTCTGCCTATTTTAGTTCTACAAATGGTGTGTCTTTATGCCAGCTGATATTAAAATTTTACACATGAGGAATGTTAGATATTAAAATATCAAACAAAAGTATTGGGACAGAAGGGACTTGATTCCACTTCTCAAGGCTGCTTGATGCTATTTTTTTATTAGAAGATTCTGCTTTTGGATTTTTCAGTTACTGTGCCTGTGATTCGTCTTTTAAAAAATGGTCAGCCAGATTGCCATTTAAAAAGTACAAGTTATGCATTGACATTTTGCTTTTATGATTTCATTTTCTTCTCTGTGTCTTTATATGTTGGATTGGGACATGATCTTCATATTGCCAATTCTTCCTGAAAATGCCTCGTCCCTGCATGCTGTTTGGGTCTGGTCATGCTATGCATTATCCATTGCATGTAAGATAATATTCTTATTTATGTTTATATTTTATCATTTTTATCATCTTGACTTTGTTTTGCAGTGAGTGTGTTAATTTTTAATGCTGTTACAGTGTTTATGTGAAGATGATTTCTTTCAGGGGACTTTAAAGAAGCAGTTCTGAATAATGTCCACTTTAGAGTATCCTTTTTTTAATGATTTCCTTGGTTCGGTTTCTTAAGTAAAGGATTATAATTATTTTTTATATTGATTTTTACTTTCTCCTTATGAAATATGCTACATTTCAAATGAATATTTGCTTCTGAGGCAATATGTTGCTGTCCAAACAATGGTCAGTATTATCACCTATTAAACAATCTGATACTTTCAATATTCTAGAAACTTCTGATTCCAGATATCAAGCTCATGAGCAGTGAATATTTTTTAATAAAAGTTCCAGACACAGTTGAGTTTTTCATTTGCCGATAAGAATACCGATTTATCAAAACATGGGAATCATAAACTTTCATTATTTAAATGGAGTTATTCCTTGAAGGAAGGAATTTTTCTCTTAATTCTAAAATAAACACATGCCATATATAATGTCATTCAGCATTTGAAATAAGTGTTTAGTTTTAACATATTTTTAAATATTATTGTTTTGGGTAGTCCGTCCTTCTAAAACAGTGTTTAAAATAGTAATGATCTGGCTCATTTGGTGGTTTAAGAAAATTAAAAATTAAAAAAAATAGTGATAGTCTGAACATATTTTGGAAGAGCCCATGAAGCTGAGATCATTAAAATCCCAGTGACCTTGCACTAATACAGAATAATTTGTATTTATTACTTCTGTCTCATTAAATACCACATTTTGGTGGTATTTTAGTCAACGTTAAAAACCCAGTTTCTAAAATTAAGTAGTTGTAAAACTGTAGACGCCTCTTAGGATTTTATTATTGTAATAAACTTTGATATTCTGTCATGGCATGTTCTATTACTTAGCGGTGTTATAAGAGCGTCGGGTGTGTTTTGTTTATCAAATAATTGAATAAGCTCATTGTATGGTTGACAGAATTGTTTAAATGTCATCTGAGGTCAATTAGCCAGGCTAACAGTTTTGATATATTCATGAAAAAATAAGAATCTGCTTTGTTCCCCAGTTAGCTGTCCTTATTATTGCCCACCAGCAAGAAGCAGTAGTAAGGGGTGTTAAAGCAGGAGACTGTTTAGTGAACCCAGGGGTTATTGTTTTCATTAGATTTTCATTGCAGTAACTTATCTTTATTCAGGTGCTTGTGACGTGACCCGAAATTTTATCTCGTAAAATCTACTTAATTTAACTTATTAAAATACAGTGTCACATTTCTGAAATTCAAGTATTTGAAGCACCTGATTTTTTTTATGCATCTTACGAAGACTATGTTTAGAAGAGTTAGTTTTACTTAGCAAATTCAAACATACTTTCTAAAAGATGTCCCTCATATAATTTCTTTTTACAGAATATAAAGAGTGTGTATTACTTATATGTTGCTTTTGTCTAATTGCTAAATATGTTATCCACGTGACTTTATTTTGCTCGTTTCCCATCCTAATTAAAGGAAAGAAAGTTGTGAGTGGACCTTCAAGTGTCCTGTTCCCACAGAACTGGTAATTTTAAAATGTAGTATCTAACACAGCATTCGAAATGAAACTGTCTTCAGTTGGCAGTAAGTTAGAATTTCCCCGCTACACCTAAAGCTCAAATCCCTAGCCTATTTATTGTTATTTTAAAATAAATGTATATGAAACCCATATATGTCTATGTAGCTGTTTAATATGCCTTAGGTAAGTAACATCTATGGAATTATTTTCGTATTTGAATATACATTAAATTATTTTTATGCAGCAGCATTTTACAATGTCGCATATGCTTAATTATTATTATTTTCTGTGTAGAATCCCAAATCTCAGGAGCCAGTAACTTTGGATTTCCTTGATGCAGAATTAGAGAACGACATTAAGGTGGAGGTGAGTGTACGCCTAGACAGTACTCTCAGGTCCGATGCCGAGGCTCATCCATTCCACAGGATCCACTGAGCAGCTTCGCTGTGTTAGCTTCTCTCCTAAGTACTATGTACACAGTGATGAATGTTCTTGGTCTTTAAAATGTCTAGGTCCTGGGCTCTCTCATCCAAATGGTCATATGGAAAGGAATCAATATTTTAAGTTGGGTGTGACATTAGTTTGTTTCTTTCTCATTCCATAGGTAGAGATGTTTTATGTATTTCAGTACAAAGGGAACTTGTACATTTCACTATGCACAACCTAGAGATTGAGGACATTGCTATAGAGTTGAAAGAAAAGTTGGAAGGAATCTAACCATCCAACCCACCCCATGAGCAACGTGAGGAGAAAAGCTGCCATTTTTGTCTTAGTACACTTAACCCAGAAAATTTCTATTTTATTTCAGAACCAAAATCGCATGTCATTTCCTCTGAGAGGATCTTCCAGGATAATTAAAAGTAACAACATTTATTAAGTACATAATATGTGTCAATCATGGATTCTCTAGAGCCTCTGAAATAGATACTATTATTATATGATCATTACTTGTCGTACTGATGGTATGTTTTAGGTCCAGAGGGGTTAAACAGCTTGTGTCCAGTTATTCGGCCAGGAAGTAGCAGGACTAGGATTTGAACCAGGCTCTTGCAGTTCAGAGCAAAGATTTTTAAGATTCTTGTAAACGGATTAACTTCTCATCCATGCAAAGGCCACCGTATTTCTTTTAGAATTTGTCACAGCGTGTTTTAATATGCACTTGCTTTACACATTTTACACATTGACTCCCTCCTTGTAGAACAACAGAATTTAATTATCAGTACTACCCAAGGCCAAGGCACAGCGCTGGGATGTCTTAGGTGTTTAACGAATGTTTATTATAAAATGTCTTGAAATGACAGAGCAGGATCATGTAAGGTTGCCGAGCGCAGTCTTTGGACCCTCATGCCGCTGAGTGACTGTGATAGAACCTATTATGGTTCAGTTTCATTTCAATCAGTCTCATAAAGTAATTGACCACTCTTTCATTAATTATCTTTCAAAAATTAATGACTAGGTGAAGATACTTAATTAAGGATACCTTTATTATTTTAAAACATGTTAAAGTGACTATAATGTGGTAACTTTTAAAAGAATATTCCCGAAGAACAACTACAACTCTTAGTACAACCATGCTACTATTTTTATTCAGTCTGTTCTAAAGTAAGGTATAAACCTTGCAAAACCAGTACTTTAATAATCATCCTTTGGTAGTCCATTGAATACTTGAAATAAATCACTTTATTCATCTTCCTGTAGATTCGAAATAAAATGATCGACGGAGAGAATGGAGAAAAAACATTTAGAACTTTGGTTAAATCTCAAGATGAGGTAAGAATTAAGTCAAGCTTACTCTTAAATAAAATGTATAGATCAATAATGATATTGGTAGTTTGTCTTTCCTATTAAAGCAGCATCTATAAGACAGATGTCTCAAGTAAACACATGTTTCTAAGGCCTTCTTTGCTGAAGGATATTTTTAATATATTTGTAACTCTTTCTAATTTTTGTAAAACATTTTGCTTTAGGTTTCTTGATGTTTTACATTATTAGCAGTATGTTTTTGAAAATTATATTTTATGTCTCCATTTTTTATCATCATAGAAAATAGAGCACCCGATTTAATGTTGTGGCATGTTCTTTTAGGCCATTTCAATCATGCAGAGTTGAAGTTAATATTTAATAGCTATATGTGTTAAATGATTTGTGCATGCACATGTTCTAATTGTTGAGTTTCATATATTATTTTGGTTTGGGTTTTTTTGGTTATTTGTTTACTTTTGCTTAGCTTATCTTCCTTCACTATTTATGCACATTATGTTATAATTCCTTGCATTTAAATCTGCAATTAAATCAAGGGGTAACACAATTGTACCCATAAATCTTTGGTACAGATATGTAATAAACATATCATTTTATATTGATGAAGAACTCTGTATATGAGCAGCGTGTCTATCCATTGTCAGTCGCACGTGGAGTAAATACACAGACATTCATATATTTGAGTATTTGAAAAATACATAGAATCCAGAGGCTTTGGAGCCTGAAAATTTTAAATGTTTTTATATAACTTATATCCTTTTCCTCACAGTGCCATCCTTTTTAAATGTATACATTTCTTTTGAATTCCTCAGCAGATCTTTTTCTAAGATGGAGCTAGGCTCCAAATAGGATCCTTCATTAGCACTTGGCTTTTCTCATTTAATGTCATTAGGAGTTCCCATTACCAGAAGACAAGAGGAGGTATATATACATCAATTTCAGTCATTGTTGAAACTTCAATTCTTTTTTTTTAATTATTATTTTTTTAAAGATTTTATTTATTTTTTTGACAGAGACACAGCGAGAGCAGGAACACAAGCAGGGGGAGTGGGAGAGGGAGGAGCAGGCTTCCCGCAGAGCAGGGAGCCCGATGTGGGACTCGATCCCAGGACCCTGGGATCATGACCTGAGCCGAAGGCAGACGCTTAACGACTGAGCCACCCAGGCACCCGAAACTTCAATTCTCTTTACTTAGACTTTAGCCATGCTCTTTACCTGCTCGCTCCTTGAGGAAAGATGTAAACCATTCAGCAGTTCTACCAACTTTTCCATGTTGTTCTGCTAAGAACTTTTTGACCTACACATTCTTTCCTCAACTTATAAATTAATTTTGTTTGTATTAAGTCACATTGATGTTTTCCTCCTTCAGTTTGCTGTAAATTCCTCTAACCAATATGTAGACTTTTCTTATTAATAATCTAACCCCCTGTAGACTTTTCTTATTAATAATATTGAAAGAAAACATTATCTTGTATGTTTATTTTCTTAATCTGATATACTATTTTTTAACTTGCTGAACAACACTAATTTGCCATTTTTTCTGAGTGGTATGAAATACATGAACAGTATTTCTTTTTTAAGAATTTTACTAGTGCAAAAACCTCCTCACCAATTCCTGTTCTCCCTCCCTCCATCCTCCATCCTCCATCCTCCACACACGTTGAGTAAACCAGCGGAATATTTGACACATAAGGCAACATGTATGGTTGTTATAAAATGAATGTGGCATCATACATTTTCCTTCATCCTGCCAATTTAAATTTTTTAGATTTATGTATTTTTAAGTTATCAGTAAATTATCGAAAAGAACAGTATTTTGTCCAGGGGTTGATTAAATTAAACAATGATTGTAAAATGTGAAGATGCGTATATGCCGTCACTGTACCTAATGGAAGAAAGAATGATTATTTACTAGTATTTAGTAGTGACATAGGAAGGATTCTGTTTTCATCAAGGTATTGAGCTCTATACTTCCTTTCCCTGGTGGATTTAGTTGTTTTTCTGACCTTCAGTGGTACCAAGTAATTAGTCTCTTGTGATAAATGCTATAACAATGGCTTAAGAACAGTAATATGCTAACCATACATTTGGATCTAGAAACAGTGTGTTGATGTCCTGATATTACCAATTTCTCATAAACACACTCTAGTATGGAAATATCTGAGGCTTGTCTAATATATCCTGGTCCTGTGTTATTATTAAAATTTATTTTTTAGAAAATGATTTTGCACTTGGAAGTCTTTAAAAGTCATGATACAGCTATTTATTTTTGTCCTAAAATTTTGCTTTACTCACACAGACACACACGCACACAAATCCCACCCATAACAGAACAAATAATGTAGAATAGATCAGACATTTGTGAGGGAGGGTATTGAATGACCACAGAATTTATGAACAGATTTTAGTGTTCAGCTTTTCATATAAATTCACATAGATTTCATAAGATGGTAACAACCATGTCAAACTTTTTTTGTAGAGGTACATTGACAAAGGAAACAGGACATACACATGGACTCCTGTGAATGGCACAGATTACAGGTAACTAGTTAGATTTAAATGTGTATTGTATACAAGAGTATTCTGTTGCGTGTCTTTCGCCTATTTGTAGTAGCAGTTTTTGCAGTAGATAAATATTAAGTCCTTGCATTTTCAGAAACTGTTTTCATTGTAATTAAAACAGAAAAGTTATTCTTTCCAGTGTGAAAATGTATTAAAATGATCACTCTGATTTTCAAAATGGAAAAGATGGAAAAAAGCTAGGAATATAAAATTTAGAAATGAAAACCTGTATGATATAAATCCATTTGATCATTTTGCATATGTATGTTAGCAATAATAAATGTTGACCAAACCCCTAAAATTTGTAGTCATCACTTCCACTAATTTCCTCATTTAAATTGTCAGTTTACATTACTTATATTTAGGTAGCAAAATAACTTAAAATTTGTCACATCGTAATATGATCTGATATAAAATGCTCAGTTGACACAATTTTTCCCCATGAGTGGCAAGTCTGTGATATCCTGAGCACACCAATGGGCAGGGCCTTCGAAAGCTGGACGGACTAATACCCTATAGTGCCTTGAAAGTTCTCCATTCTTCACTCGCTGAGCATTTCCTTCGCTTTCTTGGTCTGACTCTTCTGAATAGCTTTCCCTGTGGTCCTACTTCTCCCATGCTCATAATACTGAGGTTGATAGGAATATTTCCTTCTTGTTACTCATTCGCTCTTCCTCTTCCCTAAAATCCCCATCTCTGAATCTTATGTCATCTTCCTCTCATTCCTATAAGATTTCATTTTCTGGCTTACTGTCAATCACTCGTACATTCACATAGATCACTATTTCTCATACTATTTTTGACATACCCACACTTACACAAAACAAAAATTATTTACTAAATCACCTTTAAAAAAGATTTTAAAATGCAAGCTTAAAATTTTTATTATTAGATTTCACAGATCTAGAATTAGTCTGCCAAATTGTTGAAAATTTTTCTAAATGCTTGGTCTCAAATTTCTCTATTTAACTGGTCCTGAGCTGATAATAAAGAGTTTGCAGATGAGCCAGGTCTATGGCCCGCACTGAAATAGCATTGACAATAGATGAGTTTTTTGGTACATGAACCCTTAGTTTATCTCCTCTTCACTGTGGGGGAAAGTGTTCCTTACCTTCTTAGATGAACAAATTCTAAAGTAGACAAAACTGGATCCCTTTAATCCTGACAATGAGTCAACAATAATGGCAGTCATAATTTTTAAATTGTCATCATACCTTGCTTAAATATGTCTTAAAAGTTTCACAAATGTCCCCTACATTCGACCCCTTTCCCTCACACACCCAGTGATGGGACCAAATGTGGCCAGATTCATACCCCAATTCTGCGTATGTCACTCCTTGTTCATAACCTTCATTCTGTTCCCATTTTCCTCCGAGTTAAATTGGGACTTCCAAGTCAGATATTCTCATCTCACATTTCTCTCCCAGCCAATGTGCATGTCATGTCTCTCCCCTACCTCCCCAAATAGTCACTGGTCTCTGAACAGCCCCAACTTCCCCAGTTCGGCATGTTTTCCTCACATGTTTCCTACCCAAATGTACAATTTAGGGCCAGATTCAGTCTGTTGTCATTGTAAGTTAGTTCCCTGAATCGCTGTACAAATAAATTTACAAATAACAGTGTAGAGCAAAGTATTACATCTATGTTGAAGAAGAAAAAGAAATGGCGTGTTTTGACTTAATGAACGAAGTTCCACATTTCATTTAGTGATTTTTGTCTTAGTAAGCTTTGATGTAACTCAGGTATCACAGTTGAATTACACTAAGTAATTATGTTTATAAACTGCTCTTTTTTTCATGAAGAATTTCATTTTATAGAGACATGATTGAGTTGAAAAGGATATCATATCCCATTTAACTAAGTTACCCATGTGTATGTGAGTCACAAAAACATTGCACGGTCTCTCCCGTCCACCTGGTGGCCGCTGGCTTTATTAGGCTTAAATCCCTAGGAGAAAATAAAGCAGCTTTGGTCTGTTGGTTTTATATGGAGAGAGACAGCAAACACTGCATATGACAACATCATTGACTCAAAATGTGGTAAAGATCTTATCTGCTAGAAGTTGAAGAACGAACTATTGCCTTGAGAAGGAAGTAAATTAAGTGTGACTGTATTTTTCTATAAAATGAAGTATAGCTCTTAATAACAACCTGAGACATGCAGGCCAATAAAATGTATATTTGATATGTCAATTTTAAAACTTCTATTGTGTTCCTCATGAGTTCCAACACTATTTTTATGGTACGTGAGATGTAACCCAAGCTTAGAGAGTGACACTCTAGCAGCCACATGATATACTGTTATCGGGTTTAATTAGAAGTTTCTCTTAGCAATAAATGCTGATGGAGCAATAAAAATGTCCTAATTTCCCTTGAGAGGAATTTGTAGGAGACAATCTTCAAATGCTCAGTAATTCCACTATACATTTTATAAATGGCAAGTGAATCATGAAAGGTCGTTTTGCTTTCAGACTAATTGCAGTGCTTATTTTAATTTTAATCTCTGCCTCCACTTAAAGGAAGTTATGTATAAAGTGAACGAGGAGATTTTCATTAAATCTACATAACATTTTATTTCTCTGACCTTTTCCCATAAGGACAGTCAATGAATTGTTTAATGAAGGAGAAAGATGTGGGAATTGGAGGTAACAAGCATCCACTCATTTTGCTATCTTGACTGCATAATTAAATTGTAGGAAATAAACCCTTGCTTTTTTTTCCTCTTTGTAGAGTGAATTTTTAACATATATAGTCATGAGAAGGAAAACCTGAAATTTTATTTTTTTTCCCCTGTTCTGTATTTTCCAATTTAAAAAAAAAAGTAAATAATGAGATTATAGTTTGGGTGCTCTTCTCAAAAGCCTATGAAACTTGAGTGATTTAAAAGAAGATCTGCAAATATGCAGAAATACTCAGAAGCCTAGAAATGCACACCTTTGCCTGTGCATTGGGAAATTTCCGATTAAATATTAAAAATGAGTGCTGAATGACTCATTTGGTCCCATTAATCAAGTGTCACTTTTTGAAAATACTTAGTTCCCTGGGAATCTTCTTCTACCCTCATTTTTTGTACCCATTAGTTTGTAAGTTTCCGTTGATATTAAAGCATAGTGAGGGTCATTTGCAAGTGTAAATGTGGATATGGAATAGTTAGTTATGTCCTACACTGTAAATATATTAGCCATATCAAGAGTGGAAGAATTACACATAAGCAGTTGTGTTATTTCAAACTGCATAATATTCAAATACTCCAAACTGCTTTATGCTATGAGAACCAACAGGATGAGCAGACAGTCTTTCTTAGTGCCTCTGAATTTTCTTACCAGCAGACACCAGGGAATTTGCCTCAAAACTAAAGTCTTAAGATAGGAGGTATTTAACCCCTCAAAGGAGGTATTTTTCAGATGATTTTATGCACTATGTCATAAAAATAATGATACTTTACATTTGTACTTTTTAAATAGCGTACATTTGCTGCAGAGCACTTGAACATGATGTGTAATTCATGAAGGAGGGGTATCCAATTAGTATAGTATTTATTTTCTTTAAACGTAATCGTAATATTCTCTCTTTTCAACACTCAAAGTATTTCAGTACACTTCCCTGGAAATAGAGTACACATGACATTTCTTTCTCAGCTAATTCATGGGCACATTTAGTAGCTTATTTTCCTTGTGTGTCTTCTGATTCCCTACAACGTAGAGAACTGGAAGACTCTGGATTGCAAGACCGAATAAAGTACTCTATTTGCTGAATGCATTTTCCTGTCACAGTAATATGTCTCTTCTTTCCCACGAGGAAGATCTTTGGATTTTCCATTAACTGGATGTGTCTTTTTTTTTTTTTTTAAGTTGTTTGTTTGTGTTTATGCTTCTCTTGTTTCTATTGCAGTTTGGCCTTGGTATTACCAACCTACAGTTTTTACTATATAAAAGCCAAAATAGAAGAGACAATAACTCAGGCCAGATGTAAGTACTATGAAAGCGACCCCAGAGTCTATTTATCTCTTAGTATCAGATGTATAAATTTGTCTAGATTTTAGAATGCCCAAGGCCTATACATTTTAGTAGGTGTTACTACCAAATCTACAGCAATGATTCTAACCCATTCCAAACATGCAAGGAACAAGAAATATTCTACGTGGATAGAATATGAGCAGGTACCCGGTCTCACTGGCATCCCCACCACCCTACCCTGCCTTGCTTTGTGCTCAGAATCATTGCAGTGCTGTGTTCTCTGTTGCTGTCATTTTAAGGGTCTGCTAGCTGGTGCAAAATGTTTCACATGGTCTCTACTCATGGCACTGTGCTAATAAGGCTTTTAACTCTTTCTTTTTTTTTTTTTTTTTTGCATTTGGCAAGAATAATATTGTGCTCCACATCTTCTACTTTGTTTGAATAAGTTAAATTGCATTGGTCTTTGGCTTTGGTTTGGCAATTAACTTCCTTCTCATACTCCAAATTAATAACGTCTTCAGTAACTCAAATGAATTATTTTTTTAAAAGCATCATTTGGAATGTGGAGTAATTATTAACATTAGTGCGTATTTTAAGTCAATAGTAATCTTTGTTTTGGGTGACTAGATTTAGTAGAGTAAAATGACCATCATATCCTTTGTAATACATCAGCTATTACTAACAACCTAAATTTTTTGTTATGATAAAGTAAAAAAAAAAAAAAAAAAACACGCATGTGTGTGTATTTACCTTTTACATCTGACTTTAAGTAAACTATAATTTCTTTCATTCCCCCGTCAGTTCTTTTTGCTCTCTGCAATCCTTTTTCTCGTTGTGCTAAATTTAGGCTTTTATATTTATGCTTTCACTTGATAGATAGATATGATGGTCTTTTTAACAACCAGCAACTGTGCATGAGCTAGTTCTTCACTTGATAAATGAGGGGATGGCTAGTTGGTCTTTGATGGTTGGTAAATGCTTCTGAATATAGGCGAACGTTGTCACCATTGCACCTGCGTTAAACACTTTGCAAACTAGACCCTTGAAATCACCACAGTGCAGCGAGGGTTTTCTAGTAGTAACGGACAGGACATACCTTCCAGTCTTCAAAAAGATGTCTTTTTTTTTTTTCCAGACTACAGCTGTACATAAATATATCTTTGATCTATGCACAATATTTTTATTCAAGAAAGTCATTGAATAAAATATTGTTTGTGACCCCCTTTGCTTTACCCTCTTTTTTTTGTTTCCCTGCTTTCTCTTTCTGATGGATTTTCACAGCCAAAAAGGGCAAAATGAAGGGCAAGTATTTTCTTGTTGCTCAATTTCTTTCTGTTTAGTGCACTTGACATTTCCACTGATATTTCCATTCCTATTGGATATTATCCTCTGTGCTTCTCATCTGCTAGATTTTCCTCCATGATCACTCAAACCTTAGCAGCAAAAACGGGGGAAAGAATATGCTTGTGTTTTCATATGCACTGTATTTCACATTTAGGTTTTTTCTGAGGCTTAAATACTTGTGTGCTTTTATCCTTCCACCTACTAATTCACACCCTAATATGACGAATGTTACTAATTAACTAAAGGCATTGATGAGTTTATTAAAATCATTTTCTTTACCATGATATTGATAAAAATTTTATGTTGAAGTTTTAAATGAAATAACTCTGATGCAACATTGATACAAAAGATACCTTGGTTATGGTAGGGTTAGTAAATGGGAAACTTCTAAGACAGCATTATTCTGATATAACTGGTCTAATTTTTGTTATGAAATTAAAATGGATTTTATATTTCTGTTATGCAGTATTAAGGACCTTATAGGATATAAGTACTTTTTATTGTTTTCTTACTAGGTTATCATTCTAATGCCTTCATATCGTCATAGAAACCCAGGATGCGTACTCTGGATGGCTTATCTAATCCTGTAACATTATCTCTGCAGATTCTGAAACACTGAAGCCGGATAATTTTGAAGAATCTGGCTACACATTCATAGCACCAAGGTTGGTTTTGTTTTATTTTATTTTTTTTATAGCTTTTATGGAAAGGTAAGCCTTCAGTCACAGTTCTGAGTTAATCCCATGCCAAATTATGGAACCAAAGGGAGCAGTAACTTTAAAACTGAAACCATATTCTATTCATTCACTCACTCAGTAAGCAACTGCCCTAGGCCAAGTGATGTTCTGACAACAGGGAGATAATAGTGAATAAGACAGATGTAGACCTTGCTCTTACTGGAAATAACAGTGGTATCCATCACTAGTGAAGAATTGGGTATGTGCATTTGTGAGTACACAGACACAAACATAGTCCATATGTGTGTATATATACGCATACAGGGGGATATACTGAGATATCTACAGATATATATGTATGTGTAGACATAAGGCTAGAATGAACGTCATAATTGATTTATTTATTTTTAATGTTCTAACAACGTTCTGGGAAAGCATTTTAATATAGTGACATTTTCTCATATAATTTTTAAGATTAATATTCTTTTTTCTCTTCCCCAATTTTATTTCTCATATAATCCCCCTTTCCTAACCCTTATACCTCTTTCTCCCTACCGCTATTTTCGTGTAATTATTTGATACTCAATAATCAAGAGTGTTTTTTATTTTTATTTTTTTCTTAGTTCTTTTTTTTTTAATAAGTTTTTATTTAAATTCCAGTTAACATACTGTGTAATATTAGGTTCAGGTGTACAGTATAGTGATTCACCACTTCCATACAATGCCTGGTGCTCATCACAAGTGCCCTTCTTAATTCCCATCACCTATCTCACCCATCCCCACACCCACCTTCCCTCTGGTAACCGTCATTTTGTTCTCTAGTTCTCTATAGTTAAGACTCTGTTTCTTGCTTTGCCTCTCCCAATTTTTTCTTTCCCCCTTTGTTTGTTTCTTAAATTCCACATACTAGTGAAATTATATAGTATTTATCTTTTTGTAATAGACTTATTTTGCTTAGCATACTACTACTCTCTAGCTCCATCCATGTTGTTGCAAATGGCAAGATTTCATTCTTTTTTATGGCTGAGTAATATTCTATCGTGTGTATATACCACATCTTCTTTATCCATTCATCAGTCAGTGGATTGTTGGGCTGTTTTCATAATTTGACCATTATGGATAATGCTGCTATAAACATCAGGGTGCATGTATCTCTTTGAATTAGTATTTTTGTATTCTTTGGGTAAACACCTAGTAGTGAGATCGCTATATTGTAAGGTAGCTATATTTTTAAGTGTTTCAAGAACCCCCATACTGTTTTCCAGAGTGGCTGCACCGGTTTGCATTCCCACCAACAGTGTAGGAGGGTTCCCCTTTCTCCGCATCCTTGCCAACACTTGTTCTTTCTCATGTTTTTGATTTTGACCATTCTGTCAGGTATGAGGTGATGTCTCATTGTAGTTTTGATTAACATTTCTTTGATAATTGATTTTGAGCATTTATCCATGTGTCTTTTGGCCATCTGTATGTCTTCTTTGGAAAAACTGTCTACTCATGTCTTCTGCCCATTTTTTAAGTGGATTATTCATTTTTGGGTGTTGAGTTTTATAAGTCTTTATATATTTTGGATCCTAACCCTGTATTGGATAGATCATTTGCAAATATAATCTTCCATTCCATAGGTTGCCTATTCGTTTTGTTGACTGCTTCTTTCCTTAACTGTGCAGAAGCTTTTTTTTGATGAAGTCCCGATAGTTTATTTTTTATTTTGTTTCCCTTGCCTCAGGAGACATGGTTTCAAGTCTCACATTCAGGTCTTTCAGCCATTTTGAATTTATTGTTGGGTCTAGTGTAAGAAAGTGGTCCAGTTTCATTCTTTTGCACGTTGCTGTCGTTTTCCCAACTCCATTTGTTGAAGAGACCATCTTTCTCCCATTGGATATTCTTTCCTGCTCTGTCAATGATTAATTGACCATATAATCATGGGTTCATTTCTGGGTTTTCTCTTCTGTTGATCTATGTGTCTGTTTTTGTGCCAGTACCATACTGTCTTGATGATGACAGCTTTGTAATGTAACTTGAAGTTCAAAATTGTGATGCCTCCAGCTTTGTTTTTCTTTGTTCCTTGGTTCTTAATTTACACTCTGTAACAGACACATATATTAATATCAAGTTAATATAATTCTATTAGTCTAGGCTAAACTCTTGAAAAGATTCAGAATGGTGTATTATTAATTTCTCACATTTTATACCTCTTAAAGAAATTACTGTAAGAACCCAAAGACAGCTCACAAAATTAAAGAGTAACTCAGACCAATTTTTTTCAGCATAAAGATGTCTGAATTTTTGGTGGTTCTTGAAAATAGGGAATAGATGTAACTTTTTGACCAAACTCTGCTAACAAAGCATATTCTTGGCTTCAGGAGTGACCTTGCCCCTCAGTAGCTTCTCCTGCTTGAATTTCCTTCATTGTTTGATACTGCTGATCCCACTCTCCTGGAGTATTCTTTGCCTCTTCTTCCTTGGTGACACACTGTTTGGGTTTTCTTCCTCCTTCCTTTGGCTGCGCATTCAATCTCTTTCATGAGTTTTTTTCTTCTGCAGTTGGCTTACATGAAGTTGTAGCTTAGGGCCTCTTGTTATTCTGTGTCTACAGACACACCACCCATCTATTTGATGTCGATAGTTTGAGGTGATGCCTTCCAAATCCACAAGATGGCCATAATGTCTAGAGACAAAAGAGGCATGTCATTTATTGGCATTACATTACAATATAGGATCAAGCAATATATTTCCAGACTTTATGTCTACCTACATATTTCAGTGGGAGACATTCATGTTTATGGAAAACTAACAAAAGTATCTCTCCAGTGTGATTCAACTCAGTGTCTCCTAAGCATTTGTCTCTGCTCCCTTCCCTTTATATCTAACTTTTATACAATCACCAAGTCTTGCCAAACAGAATTTATTTTACGAGTCTCAAGTATATTGGCCAAACTCTGCTGCCTTTGTTCTCACCAGGCCAGTGCTTTCTCGGACCTAAGCTACTACAGCTGCCTCCTACTTGATGTCCCTACCTCCCCAAATCCCCCTTTATTCCCAGTCTGGTGTCAATTTCTAGAAATGGAGAGAGTTTCTAGAATGTGAATAAAATTACATTTCTCCTCTGCTAAGTATGAACCAGTAGCTCAGTAGCGTCTTGTGATGCTCTGTACCTTATATCATAGCTTTCAGCTGCTCTGTTACTGGGTCCCAGTTTACAATGTGGTCCTTATACTCTAAATCTGGGGCCAGCAAATTATAGCCTGCAGCCTGCCTGTTTCATACAAAGTTTTATTAGAACACAGCCATACTCATTTGGCTGTGTATTGTCTGTGGCTGCTTTCACTACAAAGGCAGAGTTGATGAGTTGTGGCATAGACCTTATAGCCCATAGAGTCTGAATCATTTATTATCTGGCCCTGGAACAAAAAGTTTGCCAACCTCTGCTCTAAATTCCAAACACATTAAACTTCTCTTGATTCCTATGTGTGCTGGGTTTTTTTTTTCCCCCCTCTCTTAACTCTTTCGATCCACTAATTTTCTCTTTTATTGTGGACTGTACTCAGACACAGCCCACGCTGTCCCAAACCCCAACTTCAAAGCTCCTTGATCTAGGAATTTCCTTCCCATTTTCACTGCATTAGACATCCTTGCTGACGGCTTCAGAGAATACTGTATTTCCCTTACTGGAGCACTGGTCCATTTTATGTCATTTACTTTCCCCAGTAAAGCAACATCTCAACCTGTTTGACTCACCATTCAATACCCAACATCCCATCCATTGCCTGGCACACAGTAGGTGCTGAATAAATACATATGGTGTCTGTAGAATGTATAAATATGTAAAGAATATTTTAAAACCCATTATTAAAAATACCTACAATCTTACCACTTTTTCCAATAAAAGTAACTGACCATCTTAAAACTGCTAAAACCAGTTTCAGCTAGAAAGAATATTAGAGGCAGAACAAGATCCCACAGAATGTTAACATGTTGATTCATTAACAGTGTAAGAAGAGAATGAAATTAGATGTGATATATTGATAAGACTCTCCGTCCATCTCAGATCTGTGTTTTTCTCTAGGCAACCTCTTCATTCGTCTCTCCCAATTATTGAATAGCAGACTGGCTTTCTGAGCTTTACTCTTAGATAGTGTGGAAAATAGGGTAGAAGTCCCAGTACTCAGAGGATAAATGTAACTCTGAATTCCAGTTCCCAATTTGTAAGCAATGACTATTCAGTTCAGCAAGGATTAACATATGAATCATTTTTGTGGTCTGACTGGAAGAGTAGAATTTGCCCATGTGTTTAGGGAAGGAATAAATACTAAAGAAGGGAAATGTTACAGCTTGTGGGACAAGCCAATGAATTCAACTAACATGTATTAAATCTTTTACATGAATGATTATTTTTATTGCTCAAGAGAACTCTGTAGTAAATTAGTAGTAGTATCCCATTTCACAGATTAGGAAATTTCCTTGCTATTTCAAGATCTCAGAAGAATATACAGTACCTCTGAGTAAAACATAAATGTAGAGAGCATTGTTTCTACCTTTAGAAGGTATGCAAAGGGATGAAAGGTCTAAGAAATGGAATAATTCTGCTATTTCTCAGAAATGAAAAAGACATTTCAAAGATGAGTTAGAAGGAGAAAGGAACAGTATGTAATAGCCTGTAATTAAATGCTAATTGTGGGAAGAAGTCCATTTTAACTCTGTCAATAATGAATGAGTAAAAATCATGCAACCTTCCTAAACCCTGCCTCAAAACTAAATTTTTCTAAGAACTGAGTTTTGTGGGTAGGTTGTTTGTTTGTTTTTGAAGTTCTGACATTCTCTTTACTGTCTGAGGCTTTCTATTTAGGTAATGGCCTTGCATCTGAAAATGGTCACTACACAATTGCACGTCTGTCTTCAATATTTGATTATCCCATCTGTTGCATTAACCTAGTTAATATTAATGACAACCTTACATTTATGTTGTTTTATATTTATTCTCAATTTCCAAAACACTTAGGTTAGCAGTTCTCAAAGTAGGGGTCTCAAAACCCATGGGTTCCAGAAGCCCTTTCAGAGAACCGACCAGGTCAAAGCTGTTTTCCTAAAACAGCAGTAAATGTTTTTCTCTTCTTCATGTCGACCTTGGCAGGGACAGTAGAAAAGCCGTGAGGAGCTGATACCTTAGCAGGAATCCAGGCAGTAACACTAAAGGCTCCTGGTAGCTGTTGTAATCTTTCTTGCCAGGGGAAAAGCCAGTCTCACTTTAAAATATCCTTGATACGAGCATAAAAATTATTAGGTTCATTGAAGCTTTACCCTCGAGTATATGTCTTTTAATACTCAGTGGGAAGAAGATGGGAGTTCTGCTGCATACTAGAGTAACTCGGCTGTCTCAAAGAAGAGCACTCGTGGGATTGAATTTAGAGCTGAAATAGGTGCTCTTTGCGCTTTTTTCAGGAAATAGAATTTTACTTGACAGAATGACTTAGGTATTTGATAAACATTTTCTCAAAAATCAAGTAAGGCTTCTACTTTGAAGAAAACAACAGGGTTTGTTGCTCATGACAAAATCTGTGCTTTCACACAAAAATAAGAATTTGGGGGGAATTTGTATTTAGTGTTTCCCAGTAGTTATCTGGTGACACTAGTGTGATGATATTAATGAATGTGATTTTTCAATCTTATAATGAAATGTGTCATCGTTTGGCAGATCTGCAAATTTTCCAAATAACCAATTCATGATGTTAAAAAATCAGATTGATTTAAAGTGTAAGATAATGCATTGAATTTTAGTGTAACAGTACAAAAAGTTCATTGTTTCAAATTCCATATTATAACTAACTACCAAGAAATTACTAGTATTCAAGTTTTGGTATGTTATTAAAAAAAAGGAAGAGGAATAGCTACAGCACTGGAGAAGCGTATAAAATAATTCTGTCTTTTCCAGCTGCATATCTTTAGGAGACCACATTTTTTTCATGTGCCCAAATAGAATCTTGCCGTTGATGGGATGTAGAGGCATACTTAAGCCAGGCATTGAAGAGAATTGCAAATAGGTAAATCAATGCCACTTTTTTTCACTAGGTTATTTTTTTAAAACAGTAATTTCTCATAAAAGTGTTACCATACAATGGGTTTATTCTTGGTATGTAGTGAGTATTTTAAATTTTCTCTGTTAATTTCTACATGGAAACTCCAACATAAAATGAAAATAGTGCATTAAGAACAACAAAAGCTAACATGTATTGAGCACCTGTTGCCCAGAGGGTAGGTGCTTAATATATATTATCCACACTACTCAGCCCTTATTGTCAAAAGTGTTGTTTCATTATAGAGAGGAGGAAATGGAAATAAGAAATTAAACAGCTTGCAAAGTCATAGAGTAGTAAAAGAAAGTGTTTTCACTTCCTCTGATGGCTGTGTACTCTTTTTAAAGTTGTGATTTTCATAGCTGATGTCTTATTTTTTTTCAGAGATTACTGCAATGACCTTAAAATATCAGATAACAACACTGAATTTCTTTTAAATTTCAATGAGTTTATTGATAGAAAAACGCCAAACAACCCATCCTGTAAGTATAGATCGATTTGTAATAATTGTTTAGTGTCACCGTCACTGTACCCAACATGGTCAACTCTGGGTTCCAATTAGTGTGTTGGTGTGCTGGCTTCTTGATTTACGTTGTAAAAAAAAAAAAAGTAACAGTAACTGACTTTTATGTCCTTTCCTCCTCCTCCCTGCTTCCTCGCTCTTTCTTCTCCTGTGCTTAAGATTTTTTATTTTTTTTTTTAAGATTTTATTTATTTATTTGAGGGAGAGAAAACACGAGCAGGGGGGAGGGGCAGAGGGAGAAGCAGGCTCCCAGGCTCATGCCTCAGGCGGGGCTCCATCCCAGGAGCCCAGGATCATGACCTGAGGGGAAGTCAGGTGCTTAACCCACTTAGCCACCCAGGTGCCCCTGGGCTTTTCTTTTTCAAAATCATTTTCCTTTCCATCAGGAAGAGTTAAAGCACATCCTCAGTTATAAAAAGTGAATTGAAGCCATCTCTTAAATTTAAATTTATCTCATAAAAAGAACGAACTTCCTAGCACCGCTCACTTTAGCTCCCAGAATTAGAATGAGCTACTCTGAAAACCAGTCATGGGTAGAGCAAGCCCCAGAGCCCTGAGGAGCGAGTAGCGGCCGGCTCCCTGCCCAGCGGGGAGTCTGCCTCCCCTCTCCCTCTGCTCCTCCCCTCAGCTTGTTCACGCTCTAATAAATAAAATCTTTTAAAAAATAGCTGTAAAATTTATAGTTTCCTCAATCATGCTATCAAATAACGTGTAGAACTAAAAGTATCCGTGATTGAAATCTAAATAGTTTCTTTTCAAGGGGTTCAGGCTATTTGAATTTTGCTTTTAGGGAAGTATTTAATCCATCAGTAAAATTACAATTCTCACTGTTTAAGTTAATTTATTAGCCTACCTAAATGTTTCTGCTATAAAGCTGTTGTCTTCTTCTTATCCCCCATTATTTTGGAATATAGAAATGAGATTATATGTGTGTAAAACGGTAAAGCTCAATACTGATAATCTGTTGATGTATTGCATGCAGCAGGGGGCATATTTTAAAATTACAGTGTAATTAAAATATAAATGCAATTATGAAATTACTTGCAACATTGATTTATATTATGAATTAGAATAATGGTCTCATTTCTTTGACCTAAAAGGATTTGTGGCAAGTAAATTATATCTTTCACTTTTCAAATGGAACTGTTTTTCAAAGTCATTCATTTTCTGCTATAATAAAAATAGTTCCTAAAATGAAGTCTAAAATGTGGATTAAGCTGATCCTTTAAAATTGGGTGAAAGATACATTAAATTTAAGAATATCAACTAAAATGTTTTCCAGTCTACTCCCCACCTCTTGTAGTAATAAGATATTTAAGATCCCATATTCCTTACCTGAGTAAAATGAAATTTTATCAAAAATGTGAAGTTTCAGAGTATACTTGGAGGTTATTCAGAGTTTCATGGGCTTGGAACAGAGGAGCCAAGAGAAATGAAAAGGTGACGTTTTTTATTCAAGAATGTTTATTAATTGACCCTTGGTCATGGCCATCTGCCCCTCCATTACCTATGAACTTGGGCTAAGATGTTCTTTGGTTATTCCAGAAATGACAACCTGAAGCCTGTGGTCTTTCAGCATTACCAGCAGATGCCAAAAGCCTTCTTGGGATAGTGCTGGGCTGTGTTAAGTTATTCAGTTCCTTGGCCAAAACATACAAACAGGAAACTATATATATTAAGTAGTTTTATCTTTATATATAAAATTGTCCATTAAATTATGATCGTTTAGAATCACCATACTAACCTATTTTTTTTTTTTAAAAAGAGGAAGGCTATTTCCTTATTGTTTATCTTAAAGTTTACAAAATAATTTTCATTTAGAATTGGCTTTTCTATTAATTCTGGCCATAGCCTGAAAAATAGGGGGTAAGATGAACAATATTAAAAAAAGTGCAGAAAATTAATATTGGGTATATTTTGTAATTCACAGAAATATTATCCACTCTAAGTTGCTTTTATAAATAGAGAATGTATTTGTTTCATTATTATCTTAATGGAGAAACTATGTGGGTATAATTGAGGCTATCCTTTTTCTGTGTTAGGTAACACGGATTTGATTAATAGAGTCTTGCTGGATGCAGGCTTTACAAATGAACTTGTCCAAAATTACTGGAGTAAGCAGAAAAACATGTGAGTATTTGTTCTTATTAATGAAAAAAAAAATATATATATATATATATATTCTGCATTTCAGTTTAGCTTTTCCCCGAGAAATATTTGGAAAATAGGCCTCATAAATTTAGACTTTATCATTTATCTTTAATAACAATTTCCTGAGAAAAACATCTTGCAGTTGTTGACAACTTGCAGTTGTGGGTGTGTGTCAGGACTAACACCTGCACACTTACTTAGCTTTCTCTGCTTATACAGTGCAGTGTGAACAAACCAAATTAAATAGGCGTGTTTGTGTTTCAGTGTTTGTGATAGAATGGGGCTTCCAGTGAATGCTTGACTGACCTTTTAATAACACTACTGTACACCTAGTCAATAAATTGAGAAATCCAATTATGGTTCTCATTTACAGTCCCTACTCCATTTCCAGTCAGTCACCAAATGCTAAATATTTCTCCTAACAATGTTGCCCTGTCTTCTTCACACCCAAGTTCCTAATTTCCCATTTCTAAGAAATGATAGCAACTGCTCTTTCTGCCTTTAGGGCTTCCGATTCCTCTCCCCATAGCCCCTCGTCTGTTCTCCGTAGAACTCACCCCTGTCAGTCTTACTCTCAAAGTGCATCACTTCCAGTTTCAGGATAAAGGTGAAGCTCTCCGGCATGGATTTCAAGATCACTGATGAGCTGACCAGTCTGAAGAAGCTGGTCCTTGAAACTTTACTTCCTGTTGCTTCTTACCTTGTGCCTTATGTTTTTATGACACCAAATACTGTCACATTCTTCACAAGCTTTCCCTTAATGTTCACTCTTGGCTCTACGTGTAAGATCGTCCTGCTGCCTCTGTCATCTCTGCTAATTCAAAATGGCAGCTGTATTCTTCCTTATTATGAAGTGTCTTCCTAGAGAATCCTCCCTTTATTTCCCAGATATTTTCACTAATAAAACATAGTTTACATATATTGATATATTTACTTTGTCTTCCTTTATTTTAGGAACTCATTTTATTTATTATTTATTATTGCTCATTTATTATTACATCAACACCTAAATTACTATCTTACCGAGAGTAAATGGAATAAAAAATTTCCTTCTTCTGTCTTCTGTTTTAGCAAGGGAGTGAAAGCGCGGTTTGTTGTGACTGATGGAGGAATTACCAGAGTTTATCCCAAAGAGTAAGTTCAAATAAGATCTGTAGAAATCAGTACATTACAAAGGACTACTCTGAGGATGTGTACATTACTGGATAAGGAAACCACTGTGTAGAGAAACTTATTCTTAGATTAACATGGAGTCACTTAACCTATTTACAATAGTAAAAAATCCCCTATTTCTTTAAAAGATTTTTTGTCTCTGTAGACACAAGCTAACCTAAATGAACACAATGGTCATAGTCTATTGGCTATACGTTCATAGAGCCTCATTGTTTTCACTGTTCTTCAGTGGATCTTATCTCTTATCTCCAGAACAGTCTGTAAAGTGGCCTGGAAAGGCTTATTACTATTAACTGACTTGTACATAATTACCTGCAGAGTAAAACTAAGAGCTTTTTCTGACTCTCAGTATCATTCTACGGTGATATATTGCTTATTAACGAGGATCATTTACACCATCAATTACCACTGACTTTCTTAGACATACCTGAGATGTAGGCATATCTGTAAAATTTCACGATGTTCACGGCAAAGTAGGTTATCAGGCAGATTAGAGAATAAAAATGATGAGCCATTTCCTCCTTAGGGCTGGAGAAAACTGGCAAGAAAACCCAGAAACATATGAGGACAGCTTCTATAAAAGGAGTCTCGATAATGATAACTATGTTTTCACTGCTCCCTACTTTAACAGTAAGTATTACTTGGAACTCAGCATTCTGTTTCCTTTTTTTTTTAAATAAATTATTGTTCCTACCCGCTTCCCCCCCCCCCCAAAGCCATGCATTTTAAGTTAATTGCTCAGAACAGTCCTTATTCAGTATATACTCTATGCATGACATTGGAAAGACACAAGCATTCATTTAGTTGAGGAGGTAAAATGCCTACACAGGAAATAGCCAGCCAGTAATGAAGAGATAGCATATCCACAGCATGCGTAATACATAGAAACACATGTAGATAATCCTTTGTTTCACAAACTGCAAATAGGTGATGAATGTTTAGTGACTTTCGGAAATGTAATTCATCAGTTAATCAGTTTTAGTTCAATGTATTTCTGAAAATTATCAATAGTCCACATTTTAAAATATTTTCTTGGGTTCTGTCCCAATCCCCGAGCCTCTCTGGGGGGGGGGAGGGGGGTGTTACTCATCCTCATGTTCACAAGTCGGGAAACTCAAGTTCAGAGAATTTTGTTGGAGTTTTGTCCAGGAACTTCGGTCTTCTAAATGCAAAGGCCGTTTGGGGTTCTAAGAACAATCTTTCCACTTCACTTCAGCAGCCTCCCCACTATTTTAGCAAATGTCATGAAGCAGAGATTTGGCATGCATCCGTTTTGTTGTGAAGGTAGATGAAGCCCAGCTGAGTAATTCACACCCCCGAGTCAGTTCATTCAGAATAACTCATGGACACTCCAGTGAGCCTGGTATTTAGAGAAAAAAGGGGGAGGAGAGGACTACACACCTCCTTGTTACCTCTATTCTAGAATACTTCAGCAAAACACTATTCACCTATTAAGAGAAATTCACTATTTGATGTATCTAGACAGGCCTGTTTTCCTTTTCTGTTGTTGTTTTTCTTTTTTTAGAAAGCGGACCTGGTGCTTATGAATCAGGCATTATGGTAAGCAAAGCTGTAGAAATATATATCCAAGGAAAACTTCTGAAACCTGCAGGTAAGGATGTATATTGTATACATACACATGACCAAAATTAAATGTGACCTAGTATTTATAGTAAAGTTTCACAATACTTATCAGGAAGGTCATCAGAAAGCCTAAAGCAGAATAAAGACAGACATGCAAATTTTTAAAAATAGAAAATACAAATAGTTACCCCTGAGACTGGGGAATACTAAAGTTGATACTGTATAGAGGTGAGGGATTTTCAAAGTGTGTATGCTTATACAATGCTGACGCAAACTTATGGAGTCAGATCAAAGTTCTAAATGCCGGATTGATCCAACATTTCCACTTCCTAGGTCTGTCCTATAAGATACTTTCAAGTACACAAAAGGATATACAGCCAAGGATGTTAATATCTGTAATAAGTTAAACAGGAAGAGTTAAGTTTTCATCATTGGGGGAAAAGATAAATAATTTATGGCATATCTGTACTATGTACCTGAAAAAAAAAGTAGTAAGAATCTCTTTTCTTAAAATAAAATTACAGTAAAATAGAAAAATGACTTTTCTTGCAAAAACAGGCCAGAATACAAAACAAATCATAAAACTGAGCATCAGTGGAAATTGGAAGTAGGCTGCAATTGTGATGCCACCAGCTTTGCTTTTCTTTTTCAACATTCCTCTGGCTATGCGGGGTCTTTTCTGGTTCCATACAAATTTTAGGATTATTTGTTCCATTTCTTTGAAAAAAGTGGATGGTATTTTGATGGGGATTGCATTGAATGTGTAGATTGCTCTAGGTAGCATTGACATCTTCACAATATTTGTTCTTCCAATCCATGAGCATGGAACGTTTTTCCATTTCTTTGTGTCTTCCTCAATTTCGTTCATGAGTGTTTTATAGTTTTCTGGGTACAGATCCTTTGCCTCTTTGGTTAGATTTATTGCTAGGTATCTTATGGTTTTGGGTGCAATTGTAAATGGGATCGACTCCTTCATTTCTCTTTCTTCTCTCTTGGTGGTGGCGTATAGGAATGCCACTGACTTCTGTGCATTGATTTTATATCCTGCCACTTTACTGAATTCCTGTATGAGTTCTAGCAGTTTTGGGGTGGAGTCTTTTGGGTTTTCCACATAAAGTATCATATCATCTGCAAAGAGTGAGAGTTTGACTTCTTATTTGCCAATTTGGATGCCTTTGATTTCTTTTTGTTGTCTGATTGCTGTGGCTAGGACTTCCAATACTATGTTGAATAGCAGTGGTGATAGTGGACATCCCTGCCGCGTTCCTGACCTTAGGGGGAAAGCTCTCAGTTTTTCCCCATTGAGAATGATATTCGCTGTAGGTTTTTCATAGATGGCTTTTATGACATTGAGGTATGTGCCCTCTATCCCTATACTCTGAAGAGTTTTGATCAAGAAAGGATGCTGTACTTTGTCAAATGTTTTTTCTGCATCTATTGAGAGGATCATATGATTCTTGTTCTTTCTTTTATAAAGGTATTGTATCACATTGATTGATATGTGGATGTTGAACCAACCTTGCAGCCCAGGGATAAATCCCACTTGGTCGTAGTGAATAATCCTTTTAATGTACTGTTGGATCCTATTGGCTAGTATTTTGGTGAGAATTTTTGCATCTGTGTTCATCAAGGATATTGGTCTGTAATTCTCCTTTTTGATGGGGTCTTTGTCTGGTTTGGGGATAAAATGAGTTTGGAGGTTTTCCTTCCATTTCTATTTTTTGGAACAGTTTCAGAAGAATAGGTATTAATTCTTGAAATGTTTGGTAGAATTCCCCTGGGAAGCCATCTGGCCCCGGGCTCTTGTTTGTTGGGAGATTTTTGATGACTGCCTCAATTTCCTTAGTGGTTATAGGTCTGTTCAGGTTTTCTCTTTCTTCCTGGTTCAGTTTTGGTAGTTGATACATCTCTAGGAAAGCATCCATTTCTTCCAGATTATCTAATTTGCTGGCATACAGTTGTTCATAATATGTTCTTATAATTGTATTTCTTTGGTGTTGGTTGTGATCTCTCCTCTTTCATTCATGATTTTGTTGATTTGGGTCATTTCTCTTTTCTTTTTGGTAAGTCTGGCCAGGGGTTTATCAATCTTGTTAATTCTTTCAAAGAACCAGCTCCTAGTTGCGTTGATCTGTTCTACTGTTCTTTTGGTGTCTATTTCGTTGATTTCTGCTCTGATCTTCATTATTTTCTTCTCCTGCTGGGTTTAGGCTTTATTTGCTGTTTTTTCTCTAGCTCCTTTAGGTGTAGGGTTAGGTTGTGTACTTGAGACCTTTCTTGTTTCTTGAGAAAGGCTTGTATTGCTATATACTTTCCTCTTAGGACTCCCTTTGCTGTATCCCAAAGATTTTGAACACTTGTGGAAGTAGGCTGGAATAAGTGGGTTCAATAAAGTAGAAATTTTTTTTTCATTGTATGATTCAGTATTTGAATGTTTAAGAAAGCATACCTCAGGCCAGATTGAGAAGGTCGAGTGCTTTCCTGCTCCTGAGGGCAGTTTTACTCCTCACTGGTTCAACTACTAACTCATTCATTCAGTGGCTCACTTACTCACTCATTCTCCCAGTGACTCATTCATTCCCCCTCCCACCCACTTATCTCTCCTGGACATACATTTCTTAAGCATCTGGTGCATGCATCAGCAGGGCTAGGGAAGCCTCTGTAAACAATCAACTTGAGTGACCTCCTATGAAAAGGCTATTCCTGACACTACCACTTTTTTTTTTTTTTTTAGCTTACTACGTATATTAGTTAATTGGCCAGCTTGTGGCCAATGAATCAACTGTGTTGCGTATATAAATAAAATTATTTAATAGTTTAAGAGCTATTAGCATTACTTCTTAATGAAAATTCCAAGAAATAGATCTCTGTAATAAACATGAGATTCAACCCAAATTTAATGCTAAATTACCATACAGCGAATATTATATGGCTCCTACCTAAAATTGCAACTTTTTAAATTAATTTAAATCAACTTTTCAGTGTACAGCTGAAATTAATTTAATCTCAAGAAACTTAAATTTGCCTGCCCAGGAATAATCAAATGTGAGAGGAAAAATAGATACTAAGAATCACAGCCATACTTTTTAAATGTATGTGTCAATTTTTCCTTACATCATTTTTCAGTTGTCGGAATTAAAATTGATGTAAATTCTTGGATAGAGAATTTCACCAAAACATCAATCAGGGATCCGGTAAGATAATTTTTTAAAAAATGTTGATGCTATACTCCATGTCATATGCAAATGAGAAAAGTAAAAGTAAAGAAACGTTGACAAAATAAATTTTCAGTGCTACTAAATTGAAGCAGAACTATAAATTACTATTTTTGGAAAGATTTTTTTGTTTAAATTAGTAAGAAAAATATTTCAGTGTTATAGTTTGAAATACTAGATAGCTATTTGATATTTTATAAAGATAAAACTATTACTTTTTTATGATAGGTAGACTGTCATTTAATCTTACTTTTAGACTTGATAAATTATTCTAAGATTTTTAACCTGCTAACAGTATATCATTTAATCATTCTTTTAAAGTGAAAATGTGTGGCAATAATTGTATTTTTTGTCTTTCAGTGTGCTGGTCCAGTTTGTGACTGCAAAAGGAACAGTGATGTAAGAAAACTCTTTAAAATTTTTAACTGTAATTTTTTGTATTGCTATTGCGAAGACTTTAATGCTAAAAATGCAGGAATTTTTAAATAAACACTAAAATTATTATTTTATGGAAACTTGAATTAACCTATAGATAAGAATTTGAGTTATATGCTTATAATTCCTAACCTTATTTTTAAAAATATTCGCATGTTAAGGTCTTTTAAAAAGCCTGTTTTTGTATAGACTCTCTTCTCTACAATCTCAGTTGTATTCAGTCTCATGACTTGAGCCAAAATCAGGAGTCATACGCAAAACCAACTGAGCCACCCAGGTGCCCCTGAATGGGCAGTTTTAATCCAAGTGGCCTTTACTGGTTATTAGGACAATCTTCCTTTTTCTTTTGTATTTTACCTGTATTTGGTCACACTGTATTTATAGCGATGAGAAAACTTTTTGAGCTAAATTTTGGAATTTTTTTTTTTTAATCAAATTCCACTTACATGGATTGGATTTTACGTTGTCTTCTGTTACTTCTTTGTCAACTGTCTTCAAAAGTTAAACATTCTCTAAGAATGACACTGTATTATTCCAAGAATAAAAAGGAAGAATTCCACTATTTTCTTTCAGTCTTCTTCTATGTGTGTGTATATTTCCAAGGCAAACAGTGGGTTCATATGATCTTATCATTTCTAGTCATGCAAAATTATAAACCAATCATTTTATTTTTATAGTTTCTCCATTTTACATAGACTTTGTAAATATAGACTGTGAAGACTGTTTTCAGAGCCAAGGTTTTTAGCAAGCTGCTTCCACATTAGGAAAATGGAATGCATATGTCCTCAACTCTGAAAACAATGTTTTTGTTATTTTATCCAATAAAAATTATTAAACTGATTCCTGCCTTTAAACATGATATAAACTGGGTGGGAACTGAGTTCTGTGATGAGCATTTTTTGTTTTGCTTTCTGCTTTTAAATCTCCTAAGTATCCTCATGCTGCCTCTTTTTTTTTAAAGTCTGAAGCATGGTAACCCACAATGCATTTTTAAAGATATGTCTTATCAAAATATTAAGTGTGTGTTTGTACATTATTAAATATTTTGGTTTATCCAATTTCCTGGATCATTTAGATGACCAAATGACAACAAGATTGCCATTTGGAATGGCAGAAAGTTTATTTCTGATTTGTTCTCAGTATTTATTCATATTGAGTTGACAGTTTTAACTGAATGGGTGGTCGGGGAATATGAAACTCTGAGAGTCTGATATGTATCTGTATGTGTCCTTAATTTATTTCATCAAAATCTCCTGATTATGTTTAAGTTGAAGCTTTCTCCTGTTTTTGTTATCATCATCTACCTACAATGGAGTAATGATATCCATCCTCAAAATGTGTTTTTTATTTCATTAGGTAATGGATTGTGTGATTCTAGACGATGGTGGATTTCTTTTGATGGCAAATCATGATGATTATACAAACCAGGTAGGTACTTGAGTGGGACAAAGTATAGTTTCCAAAGTGTATGTCACTGATCAGTATTACAAAAGTCCTTCAAACCATTATAGAAGTTAATGTGTTATTACAGTACTGACATAAAATAAATTTCAAAATGCTAAACTATTAATGAAACATTCTAAATACAGTTTGGTAATATTTGTTAGTGGAGTTTCCTTTGTAGTACTAACAGTTACCATTACAACATATAGTTGAGAATTTTAACGTGATGAATTTTTTATTCTTGTTCACATTAAATATTATCTAATTCAATACATGGCTGCTTTGAACTGATGTAGTTTCTGTTCCCCAATTTACGTGTTGGCAGCATATAAGCTAATTGGTTCACACAGGATTTTAAGCAAATTAGAATTAGTTGCCAGCTTACTTCCTTTCTGAATCTACCTTTCTGGCTTCTCTTTAAAAAGAAAAGATCTCTCAACAATGAGCATTTTCTTATTTATTTTGAAGATTTTATTTGAGAGAGACCCCAAGGACAAGCAGAGGGGCAGGGAGAAGCCAGATATCCCCAGATAAGGGACTCAATCCCAGACCCCTGGGACCATGACCTGAGCCGAAGGCAGACGCTTAACGACTGAGCCAGCCAGGCGCCCCAACAATGAGCGTTTCTTAACTGGCTATGTTTATGGGCTGGCTTTGATGAGCCTCGTGTTTGCCCCTTAAGGATCCTCTTCTGTTTCCAATCCCACCCCTTTCTCTCAGTTATGCTCCTTTCCTCTTCCCCACAAGGAATTCGTGGGGCAGTCAGCCGTGTCCATTCTTTCCGCAAACATCACACAGAGCCCCTGAGCGGTGAGAACTCCTCATCTCACTTCCCTTCTTTCGGAATGTCCCGTACAGCTTCCCGGCTCTGGTGTGTCAGCTCCAGAGGAGTTTTAGGTGACAGTTTGTCTCACTGCTCTTCATGGCAACGGTTGGGGTGTTAACACATGGCGTCAGTTTGAAACTTTACTATTTTTCCCTTCTGTACTAGATTGGACGATTTTTTGGAGAGATCGATCCAAGTTTGATGAGACACCTGGTTAATATATCGGTTTACGCTTTTAACAAGTCTTACGATTATCAGTCGGTGTGTGAACCCGGCGCTGCACCCAAGCAAGGAGCAGGGCATCGCTCGGCGTACGTGGTCAGTAAGCTCCCCACCCCAGTTCCTCTCCAGCGCACACTCAGCGTCCACTCGCGTAACGACTCTTGAATTCTATTTTCTAGCCATCAATAGCAGACATACTACACGTTGGCTGGTGGGCCACTGCCGCTGCTTGGTAAGTCACGATTTTTACTGGTAATGAGCACGGGGGTGTAAAGTGGTAACGGGTTTGATGGCAATGCTGATTTTGTGACATGTGACTCATTATTAGGCGAACTCCTTTTTTTCGTTTCCAGAATCACATTCTGATCATATTGACATGGTCCATTTAAAGCTGCTACAGTTACTCAGTTTTTCATATGAAAACAGTGTTTCCTCCTGCAAACTCCAGCCTCTTTACAGATCTATTGAAGTTCTCTCGTGTTTTTCTCTTTACACTCATTTCTTTAAATTTTAGGTATAGCAAGACATCATGACTTCTCTTTTCACCTGTTTCCTATTCAGGCAGTTTAAGAGGCATCGTGTTGCTGAAATGGATCTCATTCTTCCTTTTTACTCATTCACCCTCCCTACCTCCTTCAACACCTCACTTATACACTCTACCACCTATGAAAATAAGACATGTAAACTGAGGCACTGTGGAAAGTCTGTAAGATCAAATTTGTTTGGCTCTGGTCAAATAACTAAACCTCCTTTTCTGTCTGGGATCCTTTCTCTCCCTCACTCCTTCTTTAACTCCTTCCTTTTTTTCCCCCCATCTTTTGTATCCTTTCCCTACCATATCGTCCCAGCCTTATTCCATGTAATTGTTCACATTCATTTGATGGTGAGGCTTTCCCAGCTAAGATTAAGTGATTGTTTTTGTATACCACTTTCATAAAATGGTACAAAGATTTTAGATTAAAAATCCTATTTTTTCTGGGGAAAAAAACCCTGAAAAATGGTGCTTTCTATTGTGACGCTGGTATTTATTTATATATTAGTTGACTTGGGTTTTCTAAATCTCATAGTAATCCTGAAGTACCTGATTGGCTTTATCTTATTTTCTGGCCAGAATCTACCTCCTTCTCACCACCCTCTCCCCCCCCATTTTTTAACTAAATTCAATTCTATAATGTCTATACTACTCTATAATATTGGCTCAATTGTCATTTACTATAAAACTGAGATGGGGCGCCTGGGTGGCTCAGTTGGTTAGGCGACTGCCTTCGGCTCAGGTCATGATCCTGGAGTCCCGGGATCGAGTCCTACATCGGGCTCCCTGCTCAGCGGGGAGTCTGCTTCTCCCTCTGACCCTCCTCCCTCTCATTCTCTCTGTCTCAAATGAATAAATAAAATCTTAAAAAAAAAAACTGAGATGTGCTGTACTCCCTAGATATCCTGGGTTTATTTTAGGTCATGAATGTCATATCATGTATTTACAAATCCATTCTATATTGTCAAGGAAAGAGTTCGCAGACCCCTGGCCCAAAGTTGTTTTTCTTTGATCTTTGTTTTTGCTCCACCACAGAGTTTTAAAACTAAACTAAGGAAGCACTCCTGAATTTAAAATCTATGCTATGAAAGATTGACACCCGGATTTACCACTCCTCCACGATGGCTTGTCTTATTAGGCCTCCTCACCCCTAACTTGGTCCTGAACATTTCTGACTTCATGACTTCTCATACAGAAACAAAATTACACTGTTTTGTAAAATTTAAGAAATACTTATATAAAAATGCTCAATTTTTTCTCAATAGATGAAAAAGAAATGTGTACAGGCAGAATTATTCAGGTTTTTATTATGTAGTTTATGAAGGAACTATTTATATTTTGAGCACTAATTATTCATATTTACAACTTAGGTCTATTCTACAGCAGTTTCTCCTGAGTTTGACCTTTCCACGACTTCTTGAGGCAGGTATGTGAATACTTAGCTATTGTCAATAATAATTAAAATTCTGTTTTGGGATATGCTGAGTTCACCAAACTGAGTGAGAAGGTATGTGTGTTTGTGTCTGTGAAAGAGACCATCCATTGGTAGTCTGGAAACTTCTTGTCAAAACTTTCCTCATGCTTTGGCAATTTTTTTTTTTTTTTTTGGTCCTATTGGCCTCCAGTTTGTAGCCTCCTATTTATTGAATTTATTCTCGTGATATTTATTGGGCATCTGTTAGGGGCCACCACTACCTTACCCAGAGATGAATAAGCCACCCAGGGTGCCTGCCCTTGTACATTCACTTTACTCCCTGAGAAATGAAGGCTCTGGGCACTGACCATAGTGTCCGCGCCTGGTCATCTGTGTTGTTTTTTTTCCCACAGTTGAGATGGAAGAAGAGGACTTCACAGCTTCTCTGTCAAAGCAGAGTTGCATTACCGAACAAACCCAGTATTTCTTCGATAATGACAGCAAATCATTCAGTGGTGTATTAGACTGTGGGAACTGCTCCAGGTAAACCTGTCTTCCTTTCTAGTTCACTGAGAAACTGGATTCACTTTTATCATCATTACAAAAAGTAACTTGTTCAAGTCTGAGAGAGACAGGACTATTTGCAGTTGGAAACTGATCTTTAGTTGCGCTGTAGGTTTTTAAAATTTACGTTTTCAAGAATTCATCCTGAGTGGGTAAGTTGTAATTCTGTCAACTATCATAATAGGATCAAGACAATTGCACCTACTTTAAGGCAGAACCTAGAAAATTTGATTGTATTTTACTGTATTTTTGTCTAAAAGGACCCCTCTAACAATTTTTCTGAAGTCATAGAATTATATGAACTGTAGTAAGAACTATAGTAATTCTTTGCAATCCTAAGCCGAATATATGACTTCTATTTACATTTATTTACTAAATAGTTTTACAGAAAGGTATTCTGGGGAGGGAGGTGTTTTACTTCTACTCCTCACTGAAATTTACAGTTGAATGCATCTTTAAATTGGGATGAAGAAGTAGGAGAAAATATCACTTCCTAAAAATCAAGGTTAATGTTAGTCATCAGTAGGTATAAAACATCTTGAGCAATTTTTGGAAGAGGTTGAGAATTTAATTTGGTTGTGAGGGATAGAAGAAGGCGGCAAAGTGGGACTTTTCAAAGTTTTGAGAGAGAGTGATCATTCATGTCACAGGATCCCTGAGAACCGAGCAGAGAGGCACGGATTGGGGACACTTTGTTTTAGTGACTGAGGGCAGGTTATTCTAGAAGCAGGGTTAACCTAGAGAAGAGGAAATAGGAGGTGAGGTCATCTGAGCATGTGAAAGGGCTGGGAGAGTTGCTAGGGGATTCGGACGCTTGTAACAGAGAGATGTTTTCCAGCAGCAGTTAACTGAAACGAGCATGAATTTTTAACAGACACAGTCCGTACGACTTTTTGAGTTACTTTAGCAAATCTCTGTGTCCTCGGAGGAGGTTGAGGATAGGAAGAGAAGAGTCGGGCATCAACTCAGAAAGAAATCATACCGTCTTGTATAGAATTTAGCATATCAGACTGTCAAGTTTAGCCAACAGAATTGTTGCTGTATGGTTAGCTCAAAATTTCAGAATCCTTTGGCCTTCGCCTAATAGGTATCTGGTAATAATCAATTTTTAATGTATAGATTGCTAAGTTAAATTGTACAGCTTTGTAATCAAGATACTAAGTTCAGTCATGGTCGTTTTTGATTCACTGTATCCTTATGCCCCATTTTTTTGAAAGATGTATAATCACAAAGGAATGACTCTTTAGCAACCAAGATAAAAATGTTAATCTGTCATTAAAGGCAGCAGAAGCAGCTTATGATGTGGGGGAAAAAAACTCTGCATGGAATTGAAAGCCCTTATTCGGTCTATATCTGTGTTGTCTAGTTTAGTGGTTACCAAGCCTGAGAGGCTATTATTAATTACAACTAATATTAAACTTTGTGTCTCAGTCCCACTAGTCACATTTCAGGTGCTCAATAGCCCAGGTCGCTCTTGTTAACCATAGTGGACAAAGCAGAAAACATTTCCACGTCCATGTTTGTTGAACAGCACTGATCTAGATTAACTCTGTCCTTAGTTTGGGCCAGATACTTAGATGTTTTCGGCTTTCTTTTTTTATCTGTAGATTACGGTAGTTTTTTAGTAATAAATACAGTTGTTTAGGCATGTCAAATAAAACTGATTCTGTGAGTTACAGTGACTCCGTAGTGCTCATTGTGCATTGAGGTCTAACACTTAAAAATCTGTTGCAATTTGACAGTATTCCGGAGAGGTAAGATGTGCATGCTAACGAATAAAAACACGGTCATGTTTCTCTGCTAAAAATGAGAACATTTTGTTTTACTATTTACACTGGTGATGCTTTGTGTCTCAAGATGTCAGATGTTGGCTTTCATTTTAATATGTAATTTGGTTTTTTTCTCCCCTAAAGAAAATGTTCATTATCTGTGTTTTTTAAAAATATTTTACAGAATCTTTCATGTAGAAAAGCTTATGAACACCAACTTAATATTCATTATGGTTGAGAGCAAAGGGACTTGTCCCTGCGACACACGACTGCTCATACAGGCAGAGCAGACTTGTATCCTTTGGCGACAGAGATGCTGGGAAGCAACTGCCATCTTCCTTTTAACCTCGTCACATTGTTTATGCTCCAAGAGAAAAACTCTGAGCGCCATGATTACCCCACATGGGCAGAATGAACTCCTCACACAAAATTCAGTTTGAATATGCAGACCGATGGTGCTCCCCAGGTACCAGCAGAATATGAAAGGTTTCCTGCTCCTATAATAAGGCTTTGTGGAGGAGACAGTGCAAGTTTCCAAGGAGATCTGGAAATGGCTTGAAAGAGCCCGGAGGGGGAATTGGTTTGGGGTTCTCTGGTGGTTAGGGTTTGCTAGCCGGGCTGGTGTAGGCTGCAAAGCTGTCAACACTGGATGGTTAAAAATGGGGTTCAATGTGATGTATACCTACAGTGGAATACTATTCAGCCTTAAAAAAGATGGCAGTCACAGCAAAACTGCTTCTGGTTATAAATACGCTAAATGACTAGTAAAGCATTGTAGACAGCAGATTCTACAGAGTGCCTGTTCTCTTTAGCATTTACCCATGTTGTTTTGGGGGGAAAAAAAAATTAGTCCCACCTGTTTGAGGTTTACTGCTAGCAATTAGTTTATAGTTCTGTCTTGCTAAATCGTAGACACCCAGTTCTCCCCTGTGTACTGTGCGGCATTTGTTCATTTCATCCACTTGTATTTTACAATTACCTGTTCCGCACTTGCCCATGGGCATCCTGACAAAAGAAAATTGCTGGAAGTTAACTCCCTTAAATCCCCAAGCACTTGAACTAGATATGTAGGACTAGACTAATGGTGTAGGTGTCTATTCTTTTTTTTAATTGTGTGGAAAGAAAAAGAGACTTCATATTCCTTAACACGTGTCTTCAGCTGATGGTCCAGATCCTTGTGATATGGTTAAGCAACCCAGATACCGAAAAGGGCCTGATGTCTGCTTTGATAACAATGTCTTGGTAAGACCAAATGTTTATTGTATTAAAATACTGGAAGTCAGTGGTCAGACAGATTAGTTTTAAGTCAAACGTAATCATAGTGGTTCTCATTTCAGTATTTTTCATGGTTAGCCTAAGCTTCACAGTTGCTTCTTCTATCTGTCCTTGGCACAGAAATTGTACTTTCAAACGCAGTTCCAATCAACTTGCTAATAATCCACGGTCACAAATCTATTTTAAAATCTATTTTAAACACTTTCTCATCAATTGACAGTGTTATTTATGATGAGTTGCCTCCCTTTATTTATTCTTGAAGATATAAGAGGTATTTTTATTAGTTTTACTCTTTCTTTAGTGTATTTAAAAACCTGTGAAACAGCTCTTGTCCTTTTTTATCATTTTTTTTAACATGGTTTCTGACTGTATCATAGATTTGTATTTTCACTTTGCATGATATTAGACCAGGTCAGTTACAAAGAGTTAAATTACACAAAACATCATTATTGTATGTGATGTCAGGATGACCACTGCTTTCCTATAGGTCAGCGCTCTTCCTCTGACACACTCTGCATGCAATCAGCTGTATGGTTCTAATTATTAAGAAACTATATTCTCAAATATGAAGGCCACACCATAATCCCTGCTTACTTTTAAAAACTAATTTTAAATGTAATTCTCCCCAGTTCTGATTGTTCATGGTGGGCCTTTGTTTGCATGCTCCTTGGAGTCTACAAGCTACTCCATGCAGAGAGCATTATCCTATGCATTGTTTATTCTAAAAAAAATGTCAGATCTCCTCTTGATTAATGTGCATTTGTAGAGGTGGTAATTTAGAGTAGACTTATTTCCTCAAATACACACATAGCCACCTTTGCCCCCCCCCCCCAAAATTAGGCATTTCCACAGATACATAATATGCAATTAGATGAGGAGTAAGGCTTAAAAAGCAAGATATGTAACAGTAAAACCCAGTTATCTCTGCTCTTTGATGGAGAAAGTGATTCCGAGTTGCCCCTAATTGGTTTTTTTTTTTTCCATTTTATCCGGTTAGACTTAAAAGTCCAGATCTGAGGACTTTTGTTGTTCCATCTGCTAGATTTTCAGGAGCTTTGCCTATGTGAAATCATTCCCCAAAGAATGTTGAATGTGGGCCCAAGGGGAGTGTTGCTCATTAGGGAAACTTCATTCATCAACTCTTTGTCACCAAAGACTGAGATTAAACTCACTTAGCTGAACTTTAAAGATCACGTAAAAAGCCCTGTTACCCGCAATATTTTCAGCCCAGGAGACCATCTTCCTCAAGGCCCTGGAAAGATTGGACTAAGACAAAAACTTTCAGTAATTCAAGATCTTATGAATTCTACATCGGAGTGCGTGTGAAAGTACAACTCTTGTTCAGTAGCTTTACTGTGCTAATAATGTCTTGTGTTTCTTTAGCAGTGAAATATTTTGGTAATGCTTATTTGGCAATGGTCACTGTGCATCTTCTCTGGATGGAGGCTCACGTAAAGTGCCAGCAAACTGCATGAAATCTCATCTCGTATGTCTTTTCTGTGTTTTCTTTCCTTTTCTTGTACTTGCTACTTTGCCCATTGTTAATAGGATCAACTTATGTGCACAACGGGTATGTCAGCTCCGATCTTCATTTCACTGCAAGTTTTCATGTGATGTGGATGGTCAGTCACTTTCTCTAATTTTTCTTTTCGTGTGTGTTCGGCTTGAAATTTTATTAAATAATCCATATCCCTAAATCCACTATAATAAGTATCCTGAAACCAGGTTATTAAAATCCCAGTACTTACATTGTTTTGTAAATAGCGGAATGCAAGTATTGCTTAAGTTTCTAATCCTAAATCAAGCATATCCTTTTCCTGTGTTTATTTAAAAAATCAGTATTTTCCTTTAAGGTTTTATAGAAAGATTAAATCAGTGTGGGAAAAATTATATATGCTTCCTGAGGAGAAATAGCCCAAGGACATTTATTAGAGCTGGTCATCTCTATTTTCAAAAGATGCTAACATAACATTAATGAACCATTTCAGTTTTATCCAACATTATTTTCAAAGTCAATAATTCAGTTTTTTTTAAAAAAACAAATACAACTTTATATTTTTACTACCATAATATTGATATTCTTATTGAAATGTTTTAGTGTAAGTGCATCCAATTTCTAAGCTCATTTTACTTAGCATCTAGGCTAAAATGATCCCTTATTACCTTTGGCCAATTTCTGAATTCCATCATTACCTGAATAGAGGTTTTAGGGCCTGAGCTTGTGGTCAGGGATTCATTTACAGTTTTGCAGTGTCTTTTCTGATGCTCTGGAATCATCACGATTGTTCTTCCTTCACTGCTGTCCAGGTATTCATTGATTAGGAACCACTAGATGGAGATATGGCCATTACTGTGAATGGAGGGGCAGAAAAGTAGAGTAGCAGCGCGAGTCTCAGAACACAACTACATTTTTCCTGGGATAATAAAATAATGGTTTTCATGGCACAAGATTCCAAGAGAACTAGCTGCTTTGGATCATTAAAAGACCAAAATTAAATGATCCCCTCTCCATATTTTTAAAATTGATATCTAGGTAGCTATTTGAAGTCATGTTTTACTGATCCCTACCCAGGTGACTATACCATTTACATATGAAAACTATAGTAAAAATATTTTCCATGTTATATTTTTTATACTTCTTATTTGTGAAGATAGAAATGAGCAAACTAAAATGTCAGGCTAAGACCAAAAGGTGAGGAACAGTGTAAATATTCACTCTACTTTTCTCTGCCGTAGAGTTTTTCGGTAACACAAAAATATAGATCACTTCCCTCTTTTACCTTAAAAACCTATAGGTAAGCATTCATTTTTTTTCATCTAAAACTCTCCCCTCAAAATTTTCTTTCTCACCATAACTATAAACTTACCAAGAAAATAAATATCACTGTGGATTCAGCTGGATGGGATCAGTACGTTTTAATGAAATAATTTTTGAAAGATGAAAAGAACACATCTGGGATTCCCTGTCCTTGAGGAATATATAATGGATAGTCTTGAGAAGATGATGTAGATGGCATATACTTTACATTAATAAGACTTGAAAACATAGTTATCAGTATAGAACAGTGAATCTAGTTTATGCAATTGGAGTGTTGCTATGATAACATCAAAAGAAGTATCATTTTCTCTGAAACAACCAAAAGTTGAAAAAAATAGTACCCAAAAATACTGAAGTTAATTGGCAGTTGTTCCTGACACCGAAGCCCAATAAAGGGGAAAGTCTAAACTTCAGTGCTAGTCTAGCTGTACACTAGGAATTTGTGGTGGGTGAGATTCTGCTCACAGATCTCTGACGACATCTTACGGATCATCGCTCTGAGCATTTCAAGAAAGACTGTCTAAAGCCAAAACCCTTGTATCCTATGGAATCTCAGAAGAGTATCGATTACAGATAGCCAGTTGTGAGGACTTCATTAAAATGCAAGTGTTCAAAAGAGACCTTTTGAAAAGTTTATCAAAGAAGTAAAGCCAATAATATGTGCCATTGAGAAAGTTCATTATTTTATGCAAACCTCATTTATGAAAGCACATTATTGGGTACATGAATATGCAGATGTGTGTATACCTACAAATGTACTGCCTACGAGAACACATTATTTGCTAGACAACTTATTCCTATTAAAGGCTTACTGTGTAGTATCCAGCTGCCTAAATAATTCTAAAAGCACATTTTCTTTGAAGCTGTTGTAGTGAGACCTATTTAAATTCCAAAGTTAGCCATTATTTGGGGGGTTGTCTTCACCAGTGATTTGCCCTTTGTAATTTATTTTCTGAATTATAGTCATTATATTCAAATTATTGACCTATTTATTACTATGTATAATTAGTTACCCCTAGTTATTCTGGTTTGGGAAAGAAAGGCAGGCAGATTTAAGAGTTTAGCAATACTTGTTTAACAAGAGAAAATTGAAGATCTTTTAGCCACTAGTATACATGGTCTTAGAAAACCTCGGGGAAAAAAAGGAATTCTCAGTTGATGTGTTTTAGAGTTTTTTGAAAGAAGTCTGTAGCTGAAAATTACTATCGTTATTTCAAAGTTATATATAATATTAGCACTGCATAGTTTTTTTACTTAAACTGAAACAAAGTATCAATCTTTAAAAGTCAGACATCTGTGTTCATGGGATTTTGATCTATCCTTAATACAGAAAAAATCTTAAGGTTTCTCCCACATCAATGTATTTTTTTAGAATCTATCTCTTTTTTTAAAAGGTTTTACTTATTTGAGAGAGAGAGAATGAGACAGAGCACGAGAGGGAAGAGGGAGACCCCCTGCTGAGCAGGGAGCCCGATGTGGGACTCGATCCCGGGACTCCAGGATCATGACTTGAGCCGAAGGCAGTCGCTTAACCGACTGAGCCACCCAGGCGCCCTAGAATCTCTCTCTTAATTTCAAGTCGTGGTAGACGTGGTTGCCCATGCAGAAAACATGACAGGAAACTGAAGACAGATTTTTTTTAGTGTGAATCAACTTATCTAAACCTCCCTCTCCCAGACTGAAACAGACCTCATCACACACAAGAAATGCGACTGAGCAAATAAATTAACAAAAATTAAAACAATGGAATCAGAGATAGTTTTTTTCTTTACAGTAATAGGAATTTGACAAAATATATCATTAGTACGTTAATGGGTCTTATTTGTGTGCTAATTTCCCATCCCATCAAATTAGTACTTACTGTACACCTGTGAATTAGACCATTCTGGGGATGAGGTATTTGAGATATGTTTATGCTCAACAATATGCTTTTACTCTGGAATTCAAATGTAACTGAGCATTGTTTCTTTTACCTTGTTACCCTAATTTGAACAAAGAGGAGCAAGTACAAAGTCCCAGAGATGATAGTACACACCTTGACCCATTGCAGAGACAGACAGTGTTATTGGAGCAGAGGAAGATGGAGAGGTAGCCAGGCTCCCAAGGCCTTGCTAGGAAATTTGGATTTTGTTCTGAGAGATAAAAAGAA